TATTCTAAGAACCTTGAAGCACATTGAGAGGCGAATAATGAAAATTGTTGCATGAAAAGTTTTAATTTTCAAGCTTCATTTTGAGACTATAATAAATTAAAGATTAATCCTTCCTGACTGAGGATCGGAGTACTTTATACATATTATTCAGATTGTACAGATCGACCCACTGGAAAAAATTAAATGGGAGGGGGGCAGTCTCTCTCTCTCTTCTCTCTCTCTCTCTCTCTCTCTCTCTTGTCATGCCTCATAGGCGTCAGAACCGGGGGAGGGCGGGGCTTAGCCCTCCCACTTTTTTGCAAAGATTGTCATATTCTAGGCATTGAAAATTGGGGGTAACATTTTTTTTTGTTAGTTTGCCCCCCCCCCCTCACCGACTTTTAATTAGCCCCCCCCCCTTTCAAATTGCTTCCGATGCGTATGTGTCTAAGTGCATTTTGAGTCTTTTACTGGATTTTCCGCTAATACTTATAATTTTATAATTTCTTTCATATGAAACTCGTCTATTTGTTAACATAATTTAAAGGGTTAAAAAGAAATTCAGTCAATAAACAGCGTATTCAGGTTCTGAGTGAGTGACAAGCAGCTGCATTGAAAATGTCCCTTTTACCATGATTACATGTATATGTTCATTTAATATTTGAAATGTTCTTCCTATAACATGCGAGGATCTAGAGGGGGGTCGGGGGGTCAGGACCCCTCGTGGAATTTGCAAGGTTATTAAATTTATATACTAAAGCAAGAAAAATAGATACCTTGGATCCCCCCTGGAAAACGCAGACCCCCCTGGTAAATGTGTCAAATTGGTATGTTGGTATGAAAATTCAATGGTGTGAAGCATTTGAAGTAATGGACTACCCCCACCCCCACGAAATAGGTTTTTGACGTTTTGGCGAGTTTACGTTTTTTTTTTTTTTTTTTTTGCTTGTCAAGAAATTTCTGGCTTGGATTTTTTGGGGGGATTAGCATGATTAGAGTGGATCCCCCCTGGAAAAAATTTCTGGATCCGCGTCTGTATAACCATGATAACGCTCTTAAAAGTTTGGAATATTTTATATCTAGTTATTTACTCATTTGTTTATTTTACTGAATTTTTCTATTTTTGTAATTTCAGGGATGATTTTTTTAATTTAAGGGTTGGGATCGACATACAGAATGTCTTTTTCCCTCGGGCGCATGCGTTCGATTGACGGAAGTACAAAAATGTCGTAGAGATATTGTTGTTAATGTTTTCAAGTGATTAAAAAACAAGAATACTTAAATGTAAATATCTGGAATTGTACATCAGAAGAATTTTCCAAATAATTTGTAAGTGGTGTTTAAGTTAATGAAATGTTTTAAGGCAAGTGTAACCCTTTCATTTAGGTGTAGTGAAGTTCATGAAGGTGAAAGTGTTGACAACTTCAGTCATCAGTGTGTGCAAGTACTGCCACTTTAAAATGAAATATTTGATTGACATTATAGCCACTTTAAGGTTTAGTTTGCAAATTTTCCTAAAGTTTTTATGTACTATTTTATTTATATATTAAACTAGGTGATAGTTTGTTTACCTACAACTATTTTTATTTTAAGAAATCTAAACTTTGATGGGGCTTGAACAGCTTGCCACAAGAACTTGTTTCGGAAATAAATTTTAAACCATAGTAATATGTTGACGGTGCAACTGTTAGGACGAGCGCAGGTAATTGCTCAGTTTTCATTTAGATCGGGCTGGCCAAAGTGCACGTGACATTTGGTGCATCTAAGACTCTGACATCACGTTTGTATGCATGTTGCTTTACCAAACCAAAGACTATGCATGGCTGATTTTAATGAAGAATCGTTTTATTTTTTGCAATAGATTCATTAAATCAAGGCAAGTGTATAATTCGTTTAACTTTTGTTATTATTCTCGTGGGAATGCTGCTTTAGCTTTTGTGTTTGAAGCGATGCATTGTGGGTCCAAAGTTACTCCGGAAAAATTCTATTGAATAGATATGCAGTAGTCCCAGTTTTCTTTTGGCCTAGACATTGACGTTAGAGCTCGCAGTGACGAGAATCCCTTCGTGACGCTCGCTTCACTCGCTATAATAACAGGGACCCGTATACTAACGAGAGAGGCAACTCCTTTATCACCATGTTTATTTACCCAAAACATAATATAATTTAGATAATTATAAGTAAATGATATTGTTTACCTTATATTAGCACATACAATTTCATTAGCAGTACAGGGCTCTCACACCACTTTTTGGGACTGGGGCCGGGGCCATTCAAATTGGGAAAATTATCATCATTTTGGGAAAAGTTGGATAACCAAAATTCATTAAAAAAATCCTAAAATTTTGCTTTTCTAGCATTTTGTCATCAATTTACCTCTGGTTTGGAATAAACAGTTAAACAGAACAAACATGGGTACATAGGCTTTTAATGAAAGTACATTAGCTTTGTCGTTACTTTCTCTGAGTGTTGATAATTGCGGTTATATGTCTTTCTGAGTGACAGTCGCTAGTCAAGTAGTCCCGAATTTCCTCGATCACATGGACAAGTTTGCTTATCAATACAGCGCGAGACTGAACATGCCGAAGCGAGGGTATGTTTATAGGTGCAGCTTACTAATGTTTAAATGAAAAGTCTATTTTTGAAACCAATATGATGTTTTTTGTTGAAACTACATGACAAGATACTCTGCTCTCATAGTTAGTACATATTTTTGTAAAAACAATAATCTGGTTCCCCGAACCAGTTTACGAATGCATTTGGCGCGAACTATTAAAATAGTAGTACAGATTCACTTTCATTTGCAAGTGTATTTCGTTTGGGTTTTTTTGCGATTAAGTTTCATGGACTTTTATTTTTTAATTAATATTTTGCTATGGAAATTGGGAAATTTACACCTTTCTTTTGGGAAAAAAAGTAACAATTTTTGCATTGGGAACGGGGCCGAATATCGACCCCGTATATAGAGAATCGAGAGCCCTGTAGTATAAGACTTTCCACTTGACAAGCAGAGTTTTGATGCTGTTTACTGAGATAACAAAGACATGCGGTTGTGTAGATGAATTATCATAGAAGAAAATGGTAATGAATAGTTCGCCAGTGCATTCCTACGAAATAAATCGTATTCTTGATCAAAGCGCAGCATTTTTTTTTTTTAATCTGAAAATTTTATTTTACATTGCCGAAATTCTCATTATGTACAATATTAATTGACCATATATCATTCTGATTAATGGTCTTCATTACAATTTGTGCATTTACGATATAAATATAATTTTTTTCTCTTTAATTAAATAAAACAGCAATAAACAAACAAAAAACTTTTTACAATGTAAAACCGATGTTGTTCTCAGACCCTTACTGATCAAAGAGGAACAACTCTGAAAATGTAGGAGATGTTTATTTTCCTCCTTTTATTCACGGTTTTCCACAGAATCGGATACATTTACAGCAAGACCTGATAAATCCGAGAATTGAATACTATAGACCTCATATACATGTACACTATGTAAGTATAGAATATTGAAAAGAATTGTTCACTAGTACTGAAATTATCTGCATTTATGAATATCCTATTGCAGCAAAGACTTTCTGTCAATGTCAACAATGTCGGTTCGCATTTCCTCGAATCAAAACAAAACATAGCCTATAAGATTTTTAAAAATATCAATGTGCGATTTGATCGATATAAATTGAAATAGATGAGGAGTTTAATGTTTAACATTTTGAAGATAATGTGGACGAATACGGAATTTCCATTTTAACTTTAGAAGCAACAACATTGAAAGAATGCGTACAATATCATGAGGGGTGTACATCTATGCAAATGTCGATGTATCCCCACGGCCACATAGTGATACTGTCTCATTTGAAATAATGACATGAAAGAAACTACAATTATTCCATTTATATCACAGGAGAGTTGAACATACACAATTTTTTTTAATAAATAAAATTAAAGAAATCAAATGAAAAATCAACATATTCAAGTTCAACTTAACTTGAATTCGTGTCCAGTTTTCATGTGATATGGAATGCATAACGCATGCATATATGGACTAAAATCCTTCAGTAATTTTTTTCCTTATACATATAAAAACAGTAGTCAATATTTATTCTGCATTCATGAATTTAAAAACTAATGCATACCTCCAGGATTCAAATGAAAAAATACCGGGTACTAGTATATTTGCACTGTAAATGACGTTTCGTCAAACGCTAATGGTTGCGACGCAAAAAAGGAAGGGATGGGGGTGGTAGGGGTATTCAAAAATTGCCTAAAAATCTACATTTAAATACGCTTTACATATGAGAACTTTTAAATTTGTAAGTTTATATATTTTTGAAGCAAAAGCAATATTCCAATTTGATTTTTTAAAAATGTGTATTTGTAGATTCATAGCAAAGTGATCGACCCCTGTCTGAAAGACGGGCAGGAACATGATTTATTGAGAAAGGGGGAGGGGATAATTTTCCGCTATTAAATCAAAACTGGTCGTACAAAAATTATTAAAAAAATATAAAGATTATTTTTACTACCAGCTACCTAAAGAAAGTTTTTTATCAAAATTAAACGACAGGTTTTTTCACAAAAAAATTTTGAATTTGAAAAGTACACAATTTTCAAGGCTTAGATAATTCATAGTTTTTCAGTTTAAGGTCTTTAAAAATTGTTTTGATGATATGTATATCAAAAAGATGACTATGTTTCTGTGTTAAATGGTTAAAGGAATAAGTCAGTGAAATTTGACATTTATATCTAACCTGGCTTTTTTGAAAATCAAGGTTTAAGTACACTAGTTCATTGATTAAAAATTTTCTCTCCTTGTAAACGCCACTCGAACGATTTTGTCCAAAATGTGCATACATGCAGTAGATATAGTCAAGTACTAAATATACAAAAATAACGAAAATTAAACGACAGGAATTTTGGGGGGTAGGTGTGTTGTACATCCTTAAGTTCATTTTTAGCTCTACTGGTCAGAGACCAGAAGAGCTTATGCGATAGTAATGCGTCCGACGTCAGTCCGTCTGTCTGTCTGTCCGTCTGTCTAGCTGTCTGTCTGTCTGTCTGTCTGTAAACAATTTTTCAAAATGCTACTCCTCCTACAGTTTTGGTCAGATTTCAATATAACTTGGCACACAAGTAGACTACACTAAGATACGTAATTCTGTGCATCGGTTTTTGATTTCGATGAACGGTGTTGCCGAGGTTACTAAAAATAGAAATTTTTGTGAAATTGTTTCAAAATGCTACTCCTCCTACAATTTTGGTCCTATTTCAATATAACTTGGCACACAAGTAGACTACACTAAGATACATAATTCTGTGCATTGGTTTTTGATTTCGGTGAACGGTGTTGCCATGGTTACTAAAAATAGAAATTTTTGTGAAATTGTTTCAAAATGCTACTGCTCCTACAATTTTGGTCCGATTTCAATATAACTTGGCACACAAGTAGACTAACCTAAGATACATAATTCTGTGCATTGGTTTTTGATTTCGGTGAACGGTGTTGCCATGGTTACTAAAAATAGAAATTTCTGTGAAATTGTTTCAAAATGCTACTGCTCCTACAGTTTTGGTTCGATTTCAATATAACTTGGCACACAAGTAAACTACACTAAGATACATAATTCTGTGCATCGATTTTTAATTTCGATGAACGGTGTTGCCGAGGTTACTAAAAATAGAAATTTTTGTGAAATTGTTTCAAAATGCTACTCCTCGTACAATTTTAGTTCGATTTCAATATAACTTGGCACACAAGTAGAAGATACTAAGATACATAATTCTGTGCATCGGTTTTTATTTTGATGAGTGGCAAGGATCATTTTTCTATTTATTGCTGATTTAAAGTCTCAAGTCCCAACTGCTACTTTTCTCTTTCTTTGTTTTAAGTATACTCTATTCTCTGACCTTATTTATTGGCGCTGCCATGTTTGGGTCACATGACTTGACGCCATGAAGGTGCTGATAACGTCATATATTCGGTCATACTTAATGCAGTAATTTTTCTCCGTTATTCATCAATTTACTGGCGTAATACTTATACAAACACGCGTTTATATAAAGTAAAAGTTTACTGATTCATTCTTTGTTTTGGTATTTTTTTTTTTCTTCATTGTTCGTGTAAATATCGTTTTAAAATAAATAATGATCGATTGATTGTTATTGTTTTAGGCAGAGTTGGTTATATTTCATCCTTATTTCCGCGGTTTAATAAACATTAAGCCGGGGTTTTTTAAAATTAAATTTTACATGTAGCGAGATTAAAAGGTAAAAACTTGTATAAGTAAGAATATTATATCTTCTACACAGTGAGAGAGAGAGAGAGAGAGAGAGAGAGAGAGAGACGGAGGGAGAGAGAAGGGGATGGTCTCGAGTAAAATTAAAAGTTTTAAAACAGGTGCGTAGTAAAGCCATTTTGGAAATGAATATGAGCATACAAACACAAACAAATGTACGACTGGAACTTTTTACAATTCGTGTTTCATTTCTGCGATGATTATTTTTCTAGTTCATTATAGGCTGTACGTGTTAAATTATTCATTATCCATGGGTCCTCGTGGGATATTGGCAAATGAATATCTTAAGGATGTTTTAAAGAGGGGCGAGTTGACGACTGATCCTCCCCTTTTAACTGAACCCTTCTCGTATTTTTTCACATTAAAAAAAATCTGCGTGGTTCGCGTTCAGCATGCAAGTCAGTTTAATGCTCAAGCAACGCTTAACTACCCATTTTTTAAACAAGTTTTTTTTTCTTTCCTAAGTGATTTCACACAACCAACATGTGTGGAATCATTTCATAAAACCGATAATCGTGTTTAATATTACAGCACACTCTAAAATAAAATGGAGATTTTGTTTAAATTTTTCCTACTCAAATGTTATAAAAGTAATACATGAAACTAAGTCATGTTTTAAAAAAAGGGGGGGGGGGGCGTAAAATGATTATCTCGGCAGGCGGGCTGTTCATATATATGATTGTATTTAGACCATTGGGAATTGTATCAGATAAAGAAGAATAGAAAGTTTTTTTTTTTAGTATATCGCTTTATAGAGTAATAAATAAATTAATATCCATAAGGTAAAATTGGATAAAGAACACGACGATCGTCTTGATTTTCTCGACTGACACATATTTTTTTTTTAAATGGTAAACACGCAATAATTTTTTTTTGTCTCAGTTTATTTGTTATTGATCATTATTTTATTTAGTAAACCAGCACATGGTGTATAAAATTATATACTAAACATCAAATAAAAAGGTTTTACCTATGAGCGGTTAACTAATAAAATGAAATTGAAAACTTGATTTAAAAAATAAAAAACACACATGTGTATATCTTCTCGTTAAATTTATTTACTATACTAACCTTTCCAGTCGTATCTCAGCATGTCCGACTTTGGAAAACAAAAAAACAATGCATTTGTCACCCATTTATTCGTAGTGCTTACTGTCACTCTTATCACATTATCAGCACTGTAATGGCGGCCGACGACAACGCCGCCGTGTGACAAAGCGGGATAACTCTGTAAAACTTGTGAAAAAGAATCGTGTATAAACCAGTAGAGCTACAGTCTCGAGAGAGACTTCTGGTTAATTTATATGTCAAAATATATCTATAAGACATTGAGTGAACTAGAAGTATACACAAGATCCACTGTCAGGTAGAGGGATTTAAAGCACTGAAAACTTTTTTTTTACTGCAGTTCACTGGAATTGAAAAGAAAGAATTTACCTATTGCAAAAACAAAAAAAAAAAACAAAGCAAAAAAAACAAAAAACATTAGGCAATGCAATAAGAAAATGTAAGAAAGGGCAACTTTCTTCATGATAAAGTGCTAATTAACAAATAAAATTCACAATACGTTATTGTATGCCTGCAAGCTGCTCATATTTATATTACACCAATTATAAGTTTGAGGACAGTTTCAATTACATAAATATAAGTACATACAATACAAATTGTTTTCTTCATAACCTAATGATTTTTTTTTCTTCTATATATGAATAAAATTCATTATGATTGTGGTCAGATGACTTTTTAGGTCCCCCTTTGAAGAAGGGAGGGCATATTACATTGTTGCTTTCTGTTGGTCAGTCTGTCTGTTTTTGGTCCACAAACAGCTTCTGTTCATTTTCTTTACAGAGGTTGCTCATACTGATTCAGAAATGAAAGAACTTTATTCGGTAATAACCAATATTTGCCCCCCCAAATCAAACTTTGATGGAGATATATTTAATTAAGTTCTTAAACAGGGGAGTATATGCTGACTTCAAAGCACTGAATATTTTCATAAGTAATAACGCCATATGTATGTAATGACGTCACAAACATGACGTAAATTTCAGTTTTTTATGAATTTTACAGAAAAATGTACATATTTCGTCGATATTTTGAGTAAAAGTCACCGAGCGCATGTGTGTTCAGGCTCAATATTTTGATACAATGTGTAGAATGATAATATCAATGAAATATGCCAATATTGTTCCTGAACAAACTTGCGCTCTATAAATTTTAAAGCTAAAATTGTTGAAATTTTGTCCATTTTGTCCTCTTTCTGAAAAAGGATATAACATCGGACTAGTTTGTGACGTCATAATAACAAAAATTGTGAATACACTGCTTTAACACTATAATATTTTCTGTTAAATTATATTTCTCATACAGTTTATTGAATTCAGCACATTTCAGGAAGTTTTCAAAATTTGACTTTTGTGGGGGCAAATATATGCAATATACCGCATATAGTTCTTTGGTTACAGATTTTTTGTAAGAATTTGTCAAGTTTTGGTTTGTGTACGTCTGGCAATTTTTGACAGAGTTATGCCCCTTGGATTAAAAAAATTCCCAATTATTTGCAGTTTTCCTTCATTTTCTTCACATGTATGTCCAGATGTGGGGGGGGGGGGCATATGTGTTTTACAAACCTCTCTTGTTTTAATTGTATCATCTCACTTTTTGAAAAATTACAGTTTTGTAATGACACTATTCACTTGTTGTCCATTGTTGTCTTGACAAAATGCTCCATTGCTAAAAAAGGTGGTAAAAATTTCAACTTTTTCAATGCAAGGAAATACAAAGTTGACTTATCAGATTAAAAAAAGAAGATAAATTTTTTTTTTCATCCTACTTCACGTTTTAGTATATCGTGTAAAATGAAAGTACTTTTTATCCAGGGATAATTGAAGTTTCCAAGATTGACATATGTAAAATTTCTGAGGTGGTTCAAATTACATGATGGATTATATATGTATCATTCAGTGTACTGCATGGCTCTCCATAGTTGTCTAGAGAGAAAAGTGCATCCCAATTTTTTTTTATCTTTAAACATGATAGAGTGCTTACATTGTTTACTTAAGTAGTAATGATTATATTCTATTGAAAATGTGTGAACAGATAGGCAGAAGGATATTGATAGTGCTATACCACCTAACCTGGTGTGAGACATATTGATAGGCTTGTTATGATGATATATACATAAACCATATTGATTTTTTTCTTGTCATAATTCTTAGAGAACTCAATTTTGCTCCCAACAGAAACCAAAACTATTTGAGACAGACTGTTGGTAATACATTTTTTTAACCTATTTTCTTTTTTTAATAATGTCTATGGTCAGAGTTGCTGATGTTGCAGTGTGTATATAAGGTCACTTTGTGATATAGAGGAATTTTGAGATTCTCCCCTTCATAATTTTGTGTAAAACATTTAAAGTGGTTGATGACCGTACTGGATTTTACTGTCCCTAATTTTGGACTCAATTTACTTGCAACTCATCGACAGTGTAACCTGTATAATCAGAATGTTTATAATTTAAATAACCAGAGGGTAAAAATGTCTATTGTTTTCTATTATAGAGGATGTGTGAGTTGCAAGCCACGCTGGAGTTCTCCCTAGAATTCAACAAGTTCTTCAACGTAGACTTGTTCCAGCGTGGGTAAGTACATGACTGTATTATACTGCTATATTTTAATAATGTAGATCAATTTATGTAATTGTATGAAATGCTTAATGTTAAATATATTCCAGTGCATGTGTTCTTTTGATCAGGTATTATCAAGTACGTGCCACTTTGAAAACTTCACCTAAACTACCAGCTAAAATTGAGGTGACTTTGCCCAAAGCTTCAGGTAATGATGATGACCAACTTTGATACATTTAATTTTAAAGTAGCTAAAAAATGATTTGTTGCACATCAAAGTACATTTTAGCATGTGGGTACTTTAAAGCAATCATACGTCTGAGTTTTAATTAAAGACACAAGAATAATGTTTTACCACCTGGCATGTTTTAAGGCATTGACCTGTTATCTTTTTCTATATTAATTATTTTTTAGATGAAAGCTACATATTGCCGTCCTGTGTGGTAAATGGTACGGCCATCACCAAGACATTCCAGATTCTGTATCGAAATGAAGATGTGGCAATTAACGACCTTATTTTGTACCGGCTTCACACATTGGTCGATGCCAACAAGGTAGCGATTATAGTTAAATATCTGAAGTGCTTCCTCTTATGAATATTTGTTGATCTGTTGTGTAAAGGTTTATCATAGTGACTGATTAACACAATAAGAGAAGGTTATTGGGTACAGGAGAAAATCAATAATAGATGTAGTTTTCATGGTTAATCACTCAGGAAGATGTTTGATACATCTCAAATTTTTTTAGTGGGAAGTTAATGTAATAAATATTGTATTTAAATATTTTGTGAAACATACTCAATTAGCTGCAAGAAAATAACACCAATTAAAGAAAATAGTGATAGTCATACCTAAAAATGATGATTTTTGTATTGTAAGCATGTGCAATTTCCAGAATTATGCATGATTTTGTCCATTGTTCTGTTTCAGATAGAAGAAACTCTAGATAAAGCAGACATACAAGTTGTTCTGGATTTATGGTTTTCTGAGGAGGATGGGGGGTAAGCTAAATGCCACAGTGACTGGCTTATTATTCAGTGTCTCACAGCATTTGTGTCATGCTTGACTGTCATGGTTGTGTTTTATGAATTAAATATAAATCAGATGGGAAATAATGATGCGTGATAGGAAATATTAGTCAAACACACAGCCGATTCACTGCCTTGTATGCTGGTACTTTTCCAGTCTGTCATAGATTTCATTTTTTAAATAAAAAGACAAATGTCAGAAATAATTGATCCATTTTTCTTATAATAGTAAAAACAGGTAATTAGAATAAGTATCTTCTATCCTAGTGCTCATTGATTTGCTATTATGCAGTCAAAGTTGTATAATCTGTAGGCTCTGTCATGTATTCTGAAATCTGTCTAAGTAATGCGATGATAATTTCAAGTCCCTTTTAGTAACTTCAATTGTTTTCTATGTTGTAAAATCCAGTTGTGTTGTTTTTTTTTTTTAACCAATAGTGACCAAATAAGACAAGTTTTACTGTAGTACACATTTTATCCTTAGTCCACAAGGCCTGCAGGACAAGATGGAGAACGTGAGCTCCCGGACCCTACAGCTCCACTTCAGCACCACCAAGGGCCTCCACCACTATGTGCCCGTCCTGTTCGATTACTTCCATCTGTGTGCAGTGGAGGTCATAGTTCATGGTAGCCTGATAGCCATTCATCAACCCTACATCAGGTACAAGTTTGATCTCATGTTTTGGCTTATGTTTGTTTGTGTAATATTTTAGACTACAGTTCTTGTTTGATGTGTGGGTACATGGTCACATTACCATATAAAGGAAACTTTAAGCCCCTGTATTATTAGCTCTACTGGTCAGAGACCAGAAGAGCTTATGCGATAGTAATGCGTCCGTCGTCTGTCTGTCTGTCCGTCTGTAAACAATTTTTCAAAATGCTACTCCTCCTACAGTTTTAGTCTGATTTCAGTATAACTTGGCACACAAGTAGACTACACTAAGATACATAATTCTGTATATTGGTTTTTGATTTCAATGAACGGTGTTGCCGTTGTTACTAAAAATAGAAATTTTTGTGAAAATCATTCAAAATGCTACTCCTCCTACAGTTTTAATCTGATTTCAATATAACTTGGCACACGAGTAGACTATGCAAAGATACAAAATTCTGTGTATCGGTTTTTGATTTCCGTTGTTACTAGAAATAGAAAATTTGTGAAAATCATTCAAAATGCTACTCCTCCTACAGTTTTGGTCAGATTTCAATATAACTTGGCACACAAGTAGACTACACAAAGATACTTAATTCTGTATATCGATTTTTGATTTTGATGAACGGTGTTGCTGTTGTTACTAAAAATAGAATTTTTTGTGAAAATCATTCAAAATGCTACTCCTCCTACAGTTTTAATCTGATTTCAATATAACTTGGCACACAAGTAGACTACGCAAAGATACAAAATTCTGTATATCGGTTTTTGATTTCAATGAACAGTGTTGCCGTTGTTACTAAAAATGGAAAAATTTGTGAAAATCATTCAAAATGCTACTTCTCCTACTGTTTAAATCTGATATCAGTATAACTTGGCACACAAGTAGACTAGACTAAGATACATAATTCTATGTAGCGGTTTTAGATTTTGATGAACGGTGTTGCCATTGTTACTAAAAATAGAATTTAGAAAAAAAAAACTTTCAAAATGCTACTCCTCCTACAGTTTTGGTCTGATTTTATTACAGTATAACTTGGCAAACAAGTAGACTATACTAAGATACATAATTCTGTATATTGGTTTTTGATTTCAAAGAACGGTGTTGCCATTGTTACTAAAAATAGAAATTTGTGTAAAAATCATTCAAAATGCTGCTCCTCCTACAGTTTTGGTCTGATTTCAATATAACTTGGCACACAAGTAGACTACACTAAGATACATAATTCTTTTTATTGGTTTTTGTCATTATTCTATTTATTGCTTTTGTAAAGTTTTATATCCCAACTGCTACTTTTCTCTTTCTTTATTATAAGTACAAACCAGTAGAGCTTCAGTCTCGACAGAGACTTCTGGTTTTTGATACTTGGTGTTGAGTTTTAAAATTTGTAATTTGCATTTCTTTAATCTTCAAAAAAAAGTTCTTGTTCTGAATGTGCTCATGATATGAATGTTGAGATTTTCATTGGATTTTACTAAAGGATTGACATTTACAAATTTTAGCCTTGGGATCTTGTCATGATGACTGATGCAGCTTTATGTCCCAAGTACATCTTGATAATACAAAAAACACAGACAGTTTTGCTTTTGAGTCCTGATTAACATCTTATTTTCAGATTTTGGGATTTAAAGGCTTCCAACAGGTGATCAAGCGTTTTTCATTCTGGGTGTTGTTTATGATTTTTTCCAATTTTTATTGATTTTTCTGTACAGTCAATCAGATATCCCTATCACCACCCTTACTATTTTGTGATAATATTTTCCCCTAAAAAATCACACTTGGTTGATTCCTTTGTGAAAATTAATCACTTTCACTGCATGCCACCTGAATACTGTTTTGAATCACATGTTGTATAAACCTTAACTTTAATCTAGTGACCCCAGATATTCCTAGAGCTGGATTTGTCAGTTTACAAAATATGGACCTTCCCTTTGATTATCCAATGGTCTATCATACTCTAGCTGAAGCTTTGTCAATATGAATATGAAGCTATTTGATAGGATTTTCCACACATTATTTTCAGTCAAAACAATTACTTGGAAATTTACCCAATATTTATACCCCCGCTCCGAAGGAGAGGGGGATATACTGTTTTACCCTTGTGTGTCTGTCTGTGTGTCCGTCCGAAACAAATTTTCGTCACAGTGTTCTCAGCAACTACTCATTGTAGATGCTTGTTTTTTTTACTTTGAGCTATGTATTTTGCTCAAACATTTCAGATTTCAATTGTCCTCGAAAAAATGGAAATAAAATGTGTATTCCCAATGTCAGGGTATGTTCCTACTCTTAACGCACTGCTCTGGTAATATAGATGTATATGTGATTACCAGTATTTGTTGTTTCAGTTGAGAATGAAAAACAGACATATATGACTTGTAGTTTGCCATTTTAGTCTCTGTATTTTCCTCTGTACCATTAGATACTTGCGCAGAAGATGGAGTGTTCGTGGAAAGAAAAGAAAAGTTGTGTAAGACATAACAGTCAGGTCACTGAACTTATCACGTATCTAGTCAGGAGTATTATGCATTATCAAGTATATTTTTTACTCTCAGAAATCTTTCCAATATGTTGTGTAATTTTGTGTTTTCAAGTCTAAGCCTGTTAGAATTAAAAAAAGAAGAAGATATATTAATATACATGTATAACACCATGTAATGGTGAGTTGACACAGAAGTAATCCCATATAGGCAAGTAAAACACAAGGTTTACATGTACCAATATGTACTGACAAGTTTTAATCATGTAGTACATACAATATGGTGAGGGATTTATTAACAGAGAGTCAGATCTTAACAAAGCCGGGACAATGACCTTAATTTCTGGTGAGGATTACTGCATGTCATTCTGGGTCGGTGCATGTGTGAGGGTCAGTGACACACAGAGCTGGGGGGTGAAGATGTGGGGGCGTGTTCACAGAAATCCATGGTTACTGACAGATGCATCAATCAGTTTAGGAACTAATGAGAAAAAACTAAGGAGCCCAGGATGTTAAATGCACATATTTATGCCAAATCACGACTATATACATGTTTGTAATAAGGATCTTATTTAGCAGTAAATTGAATATATGTACATTATATCAAGATACCCTTATTTTGCCATTATAACTAAGGAATATTCACTAACAGGTGAATTCACTTACTTTAACTTTAATAATTATTTTCAATCTAATTTTCCCGAAGTATTCACCAATTACAAGTATAAAGTACTACTATTATGCAAAAAATCAAATTGTTGGTTATTAATTATGCATCTTTCACAGAGAAGTTAACAGGAATAAAGTTAAAATGATGGAATTCTTAGAAAGGTAATGTAGTCCTGAGAATTCTCTCAAATTTTGGTAATGCAGGAAGGATATTTTATCAAGCATATAGTCTCACATAATTATGCCAGAAATAAAGATTTATTTTACCAATAAAAAGTGGTTTACAGTAGTCTTCTCAACTACTAATAATCTTCTCAAGATTATTAGCAGGACCACAAATTTACAGGTTCATGAGTACATGTACTCATTTTCATATATTGTACATTTATATAGTTTCAATATGACCAAGGGCTAGAATAGGACCCCAATGGAATGACTGTTAATGAAAAAAAGTCCCCCAAAACAACAGAGCTGCAACTACCCGGAAGTCAGATTGATATGCTAAGATTGTAGTTTTTTCTTCCATATATTTTGGGTCAGATATTTAATGTGACCAGGGAAATGATTCGGTCTTTGAATCTCTTGTTCGATTTATGACACATGTTTCAATCTGATTTCAGTGTCCCAAAGCCTCCAAAGTCAGCCTGGACAAACAAACAACAGAACCCAGACCAGCAGTCCACACTTGAGATGGTGTACTTTGGAAGCAGAACCGTATCAGGGGTGAGGGTCACTGTATCATAGTAGTCACTCAACTAGAGTAACTGGGCATTCCACTTTACCCAATTGAAAAAAAACAGGGCTATCATCATTGATTCTAGTCTAAAATTAAAATTTTAATTCTGTATGTGTATAAGGAAGGTATTTGTTTAGAATTTTATCAAATATTTTACCACTTTAAAATAAGTGTGTGAGTACAGTGATTGCACAATTATCATCTGTGAAGAGAGGAAAAGGAATATAAACATATGTACATGGTCTTGAAATATTACATACTCCTACAAATTGTTCTTCAGTCATTCAGATAGATGATGCAATGATAATATGATTTTATTCCATTTGTAGGATCCCATTAACAGTTCCACCATGAAGCTTCACAATGCGATGAATGTCCATCGTCGTCTGTGTAAGATCTTACTGTCGGCCTACGAGAGCCTACAGTCCATGTTTAACAACTTCCTAGCACAGATGCCAGGGACTGATTTTGCCCTGGGTAAGAATTTATTTCTAAAGTTCAGTCTGTTAGAAGGGAGTTGTAAAAGACTGATTTAAAATATGTTGATACTGTCTAAATTACTATTACTCCTTGGCTATAAAGGGCAGAAAACAGAGATAATGTATAAACGAAACCCCACGCTTTTAGCTTAGTGCCAGGGATAAACAATTTTGATTCATTATGAAAATAATTTGTTATATCTACCATGTTAACAATATGTTTTAGAAACATGGGGAAAGAAAATCACTGCTGTAAGTGTGAATTCATTATAAGCGTGTTCTGTTTATCTCTGTTTTACTGTATCTTACAGACTGCAAAGACTGTCATAAGAGACTGGAGACAGTTGTTAACAACTTACAGGTAAATAAAGATTTTATTTACAGGTAATACAGTTTTACACTTTCTTGGGAAATAAGTCGGTAACATATTACTCATAAAAAAGATAAGATTGTATACCTTTAAAATATGAAAAGCAATGTAAGTTTTCCATAAATATTAATGACAATTTGAATTTTTAAATGAAATTCAATATAGTGCTCTTATCTCTTTTGAGAGGAACATTTATTGCGTAAATTTTAATTAAGAATGTGCTTCAAATAATTGTCTGAATATTACTTTGTACCAAAGTGTAGTTTCCTAAGTAACATTTTTCTTTAGAATTTTGACAATGAAGAGGATCTTCTCCAGACAGCGACAACTGACATTACACAGCTCTGTGCTGAGAACGTGATTCTGTGGACACAGTTTATAGAGGTTGTCTCCCTGGACAAAAATGCTCTCATCACACTGGCACAGGAGCACCACACGGGAAGGGTAAGGTCAATTATAGAGTTGTGTCAATAGAGCTTTGTGGTAAAATTCATATCTGGTTAAGTTGAAGGTAAAAGTCTTAGGCAAGGTTATGCATCAAAGTCAAAAAGTTACTGTCAAGAGTGATATAGATTATAAGCAATAATACTTGTTCAACTGGTAATTTCTTATGGAGATCAGTCAAAAGTTCATGCACAAACAGCTTTTAACATGTAGCTGTCAAAAAGAAGGGGCAATTTGTATGTACATGTATAGTTGGCCAATGTCCCTCACACCAAGCTGAAATTTGCCAAACATGGCTTTTGTATTTGTTTTGGAAGAAATTAAAGAAAACCAGAAAACATTTATGAGTAAAAACTTGTCAAAAAACTAATATTGAAACTAACAAACCTGCTCACCAGATTTTGATTTAAGTTAAGTGTGCTAAGATAAGTTACTTTTACCAGGTGAAGAGAATGGCCGAGGCCTTTTTTACTCACGAGTATGCCAAACCAGAATGCTTGTCCTGTTATGAGCCCAGGTGAGTGATGAGTGTCTTTCTGTGCTTGATTAATTACTTTAAAAAAAAGTATTCATGAGATAAGGTTAGAATAATTAGAAGAAGTTTCATGTCAAAGAAGTAACAATCTATTTTTCTCTCTCTTTTTGGTCAGTTTTCATGGCCATGCTGAGTTTGCCAACATTGTCAAGAGCTCAGGCTGTATGCAGAGCCTACCTCCCATGAGGGTAGAGTGTGTAGAACTGGACGGAGATTTCACCACTCTGCCAATCATATTTGAGGACATTTATTGTGACCATATACAAATGTCTACAGGTGTGTATAGATTTTCTCCTTTCATTTCTCTGTGTTTATATTTAGAGATTACTAACTGCATTTTCTTAACTTAATAATGTATTTGTTTTCTGTGTATTGTTGAATCTTTTTTTATTGTTTTTTGAATAGTTTGATTTTGCCAGATTTTTAAACTTTTATTAGTACTGTACATTGACTTTATATATATTTTTATCTTTTTGATCAACCAGTTCTATTAATGGTGTAGAATTCATATTCATGGAAAAAAATCTTGGTTATAACTTTCTTTTACCATATAAATTTTTAGACATCATAGTGCCACCCCCAAAATCATGAAATCCACTCCCTAAACTTTATTATCTGTTGACTCCCCAGATCCCCCTCCGGCGCGCTCGGTCGTGGAACTTTTTCAGGTCCCTGCCACATCGCACGACTCAGGCGACACCAGCTCGGTGGTCGACCTGGGGGAAGTGCGATTGGTCGGTGAGTAAACAGGAAGTAGTTCTATATTGTTTGCTTTGGTTACTATGGTATTTTCTTTTCCATAGATTCACCTGCATGCAACTGGGATTTTCTTTTGTTTGTCTGTGATGTTGTGTTTGTCTGTCACTGTTGTGTTATACTGTTTTTGATCTGTGTGAGACCTTCCTTATCATGATTCTGTGCTAAATAATATTGAGTGTAAAGAAAGAAAAAGGTGAAAATTTGCATGTTAAAACGAATTCTACTTCTTTCTAATTTGAATTATACACTGTAACTGTGTATATAAAGTGAGTGTGCTTTAGAGGTTTGTTTTGTAGTTTTTGGAGTTAAATGAAGGATATGCCAAATCTGGGTTTTATTTTAATATGTAAATAAGGGACACTGAAAAGTGTCAGAGTTTGTAAAAAAAAAAAAAATTTACATCGTTGTGGCATGTAAAATGGGACGTTTCAATTTATACTGAAGTTCTTTGATATGCATGGTGATTGAACTTCAATTTTTCACAGCTTTTTACCAGATTGAAAAGGAAAATGGGTGAAATAAATTTTTAGTGCTCTGCACATGATTTTTTTTTTTATTTTGATTTTTGAAGTCTCTATAATTGATATGGTCATTTGTTTATTTTTTTCTGCCTTCAGAGGAGACAACTCCTGCTACAGGTCAGTGTTAGAGTGCCATCTAGCCGCTAGCTAAATTGTATTACATTTAAGGGTGTCACATGACATTTTTAAAAAATGAACTATTAGTTGTTAATCACTGGAAATTCCTTTTCTTATTTTTGTATTTTAGTAAAACCAAAAACTAATGCAATGATATTCGATCCATCAGTCTTTGGTCATTTGAATAGTTTTGAAGCAAGTCAGCGTCAAAGCTTGATACATGTATTATAGGTAAAAGTAGAATACCACTAGATAATGGAGAGCAGAAAAGAAGGCATTTAAAGTCTCCTTGTCTTAGATGGGTTAACGTCCTCTTTAGACATGTTTGCTGCCATTAAGATTCGTAGTACATATTTATCAAGTCCTAGAGATTTGTAAAAATGATAAGAATCTGCTGTAGAAAAAGGTAGAAGCACATTACTTTTAGTAAAGTTACGGTGTAGGCGTTTGATTTTTTTTTAATTCAACTACTTAAGGCTAGGAAAATCTTGATATTTATATAATTTTTCCTATTCATTTGGATGTGAAATGGCAACTTCACAATGGTTTGAAACTCTGTTTTGATTTTTAAAATATGGGGCTTTTTTAAAAAAAAAGAACAACCTTAACAAATTTTTTGGGGGATATATGAATCTGCACACAAAATCAGAACAATGTAGTCCAAATATTGAAATCAATTTGTGTTTTTGTTAGAGTTATAGAAAAAGATATTTACGTTAAACATGTAATATAATGAATTCTTTGCTAATTTTGAATGATTATTTACAGAGAGACATAAGGGAAAAGAGAAATCAGGGAAAACTGGAGATCCTAAGCAGAAACAGAAGAAGAAACTCATCAAGAGCATCCGACCAGACGCCTTCAGAAGGCCGTCATCGTACTCAATGTCGGAGGTGGATGCCGTCACAGAGAAAGACACTCAGAAAGACTGTGCTCTGATTGGCTACAGGAAAAAGGAAACTGGGTCAGATTCTCCTGGATCTGTGGTGGATCATTCAGTGGAGTTGGGGACATTGTGTGATGAGGCCAATAAACACGATCATCTGTCCTCATCCTTCTCAATGCCGTCACTGTTTGTCAGGAATTCCTGGAGTAGAACTAGTATAACATCTCTACCAGACTTTGTAGAATCTCCCTACAGCAGGCGAAGAAATGTCAAGTCTGCATTGATCGCCAAAGAACTGCAACAGATTCAGGATGAATTGAAGGCTCATGGGAAGGAATCTGTATCAAAAAATGATCTCACTTCTTCAAGTTCTGGAGAATTAAAGCCAGAAGGAAGGGATTCTGGTATAAAAAGTGATCTGACACTAAGCTCAGGGCTGGGTACAGGTGTACCCAGTGAGGAGCAGATCATGGAGAAATTAGGACTGAATGATGTTCAGTGCTCTGTGAATGACAGTCTACCAGTGGAGGAACACGAAGACAAACAGTGGTATATAAATAAAGGTGCGAAAAATGACGATCACAATGACGACGAGAGACATGTGGACAATGGTTACGATGCAGCGGTCGATGCACAAAAGGATGTGGTAGAGTCTGGAACCTCACAGAAGGTTGTGTTGAGGTCCGGTCAGAGAGTCGTGAATGGCACAAACAGTCCGACCCAGAGTCTTTCTAAGGACAGCGGTATCCTCACTCAGGGATCTGATCTGGAATACCAGGACCCAGGGTATGACGAAAAATTAACTGTGATAGAATTTCTTAAGCAGGAATATGGAAGAATTCCTAATTTGTCTTCAATGGGGGCACATGGTAGCCCGTATAATAATCCTGTGGGTAAGATGAAGTCGGTAGAAGGTAAATTGAAGGAGAAATCATTATCTCAACATCGGGCAGTCAGTGACACTAATATCATATCCAGCATAGATAAGGCATCATCATCCTCAGTCTCAAATCAGTCCCACGATCTGGAGTCTGCCAAAAGCAGCCTCAAGACTCGAGTGTCAGCTTCATACTCATTCCCTGAGCTTTCCAAATACTTGGATAATGATAGACCCAAACTAGTTACTCAGATTGGCCACAGTACTTTAAGGTACCTTTATTGACAATTTGAGATCACCAATATTTGATTATGTCTGAGAAAACTTTGCATGCTTTTAAATTGATGTTCTGTGAAAATGTTTTCAATATTTTTCCCTTTATACTTGTTTTCTGATGGCTGATAAGTGGCAGTGTTTTTGATAATTATATTTGATTATCAGTGGTTAGATCAATTTTAGCTAAATTTCTTGTACTTACAATGGCTTACTGCTATTTTAATTAAGTATAAAAACTTGAATGGATGATTAGAAAATAATTTTTAGTATGGTTTCAATGACTAAATATTCTGAAAATTAAATTTTGGTATTAAGAAAGAAATGTACATTACTCTGCTAGCAAAGCAAGTATTGGTGATCATAGAAATTAGCTTTATTTTTTACTAACGTTTCTAAATTTTCTACAAAATTGCTTCATTCAGTCATCTCTGCACCCCACCCTTTCTTGTTCATGCATCCCATTTTGGAGTTTGCCTCTTCCACATTCACTGGTGGCTGGCGTTTGTTTTCAATCCGTCCTCTATTTGGTTAAAACTGAGATATTTTCAATTTTTATCAACAGGATAAAAGAATTTCATTCGTTTGTAGCATGTTTAGCTTTGGGTTTGAAATAGCTCTTCTGGACCCCTATTTGTTGAGTACTTTTCTTCAGAAAAACTCTATAAAGGTAACACTGTTTGACTGGGATATTTGCTGTTGTTGAATTGATGTTATGTGCATTTTGAAATTTACATGAAGGAAAAATATATGGATTTCCCCTTTAACTTTCTATTTTTTTCCCTTCATAAAGTCTTTACTTAATAGGTTTTTTTAGCATGCATGACCATGATCTCCCTAAAGTATTAAATAACTTTTTCTTTGAATGCTTTCTTTAACAAATTTCTAGATGTGAATAACCACAAGTGCTTATGACTTTATGATTGTTGCTGACATAATGAATTATTTTGTTATTTAGTACATACTGAGCATTTGTATTTCAGCTTTGTAAAGCTCAGAGAACAGCTAAAAACAGAGATGCAATATCATGGACAGCTTTATAGGTAAGCTTTTATCAAAGGAAGAATTTGAACAGAAGGTTTCAATGCATCCTTTAGTTGAGATGTTTTGTCACAAAACCAAAATTATGGCAACTGTAAGAAAAGGCAAAAGAAATTAATAATAACTGATGGTTTAAATTTGACTGCCCTTGAACATGTTAAAACAAACTTAAGTGCATTACAAAGGGATGCATGCTTTATGTTTGTAACTGTATTTCAGTGACATACCGGTAGATTATAAAATTTCACCTCATTAATTTGATGTAACTATTTTTCTCTATATTTTTCAGTCATATATATGTAGTATTGAAACAACTAAGCCTAGTTGCAGATTGTTCATTTGTAATTTATTTCTTTGAAATAAGAGATTTGATGAGAATAGAGTGTCACTGTGATGATTTCAATATTAATTGTTCCTTGTTTCTCTAGCAGTGAGTGCCCCTCTCTGGACTCCATACATCCCTACTTCCACGTCACTGTGATGTTAATTAATTGTTAATTTTGTCTGTGACAGTGAGTGCCCCTCTCCGGCCTCCATACATCCTTACTTCCACATCACTGTGATATTAATTAATTGTTAATTTTGTCTGTGACAGTGAGTGCCCCTCTCTGGCCTCCATACATCCCGACTTCCATGTCACTGTGATGTTAATTAATTGTTAATTTTGTCTGTGACAGTGAGTGCCCCTCTCTGGCCTCCATACATCCCTACTTCCATGTCAATGAAGAGAGTGTAGATGATGGAGATGGTGTTCATTTAGTTGTCTGTGTTCATGGATTAGACGGTAAGGAAATATGGATCTGGTCAAATCTTATCTTCTGTCCTAGTTTTAAGACACTTGGTGTTAACATACATTTTGATACATCAGTCCAGGAAAAAATACACACAAATTAATGCCAAGAAAACAATTTTTGATGAGGTCATAAAAAGCATATTAAATTCAGTCAATGTTTTTAGTTTACTTGTTATTTTGGCTCGAGTATTGAATTTTGTATTAAAACAAATGTTTAATTTTGGCAGTAAACCAATTTAATTGAACAATTTGTCATTTTATTTAGAATCTGCAAGATTTTAAATAGGGATGTCAAAATTGTCAATAATTGATATTCGAATATTCTATAGAAGTATTCGAATATATTCGAATATTCGATAAAATTAATACATTTTGCATTATAAAGTATATATTTTAACTCTCCTGTCAACCAGTATATGTTTTTTGTCCCCCGCTTGAAAAGTGGGGGATATTAATTTGGGTTTGTCCGTCCGTCCGTCCGTCTTTCTGTCTATCTGTAACGCTTTCGTTTCCACACGATATCTCGAGAACCCTTTGAGCTTTTGCAATGAAATTTAGCATAGCAACTCCCTATGGACTAAAGAAGACCCCTATTGATTTTGAGGTCAAAAGGTCAAAGGTCAAGGTCATGAATAAGCAAATTCTGTCTGTTAAAACACTTTCGTTTCCACACGATATCTCTAGAACCATTTGAGCTATTGCAATGAAATTTTACATAACAACTCCCTGGGGCCTAAAGAAGACCCCTATTGATTTTTGAGGTCAAAAGGTCAAAGTTAAAGGTCGTAAATTTATACATTCTGTCTGTGTGTAACACTATCATTTCCGGGCGATATTTCAAGAAGATTTTGAGCTTATGCAATGTAATTTTATACCAAAACTCCCTAGGACGTCTCTCGCCCCTCTCAAAGTGCCCCGCCCCATTTGTTTTATTAGTATTTATAGTATTACATGTCGCTATTTTTAGCGCAGGGGCATGAGGAGAGTTATTGCGTATAAAACAGGTTCTCGGCGGACTCTATGTTCTTATTACATCTATTAGCACTGTTTAATAAAGGCTAAATAAATCAAACACCATGGATTGTGTAAAATTTTGAGAATACCGAACATGAAAACATGAATATATACATGTATGTGACTTCAGTTCTGCATATACTTCCCTTCTTGTAAAGCGACTCCGTGGTCTGGTGGTTATGTCTCTCGCTTGGAATGTGAGAGGCCCCGGGATCGAATCTCGATCGAACCTTTCTTTTTTTTTCTTTTTTTTTTTTAAATACTTTTTTTTTTTACTAAATGATAGTATTCAGCATGTGAAAAATTCATGAGGTTATAAAATCATCATTACAGTGTGATAAATATTCCATATAAAAAAATCTTCTATACACATAATAAAGAATAAGCAATCAAATCTTTATATGCATATTGACATACATGTATTTTATTTCCTTCAGTATACATGTATACTTTTAATAATTCTACAAATTCAGTCAGGGGGAGCCGACTTTTTCCCTAAGCGGGGGACACGAATTCTCTGAATTAGCTTGTTGTCATTATTTTGAAGTAAAATTTCATGTAGAGTTTTGTAAATGCAAAGTAATTAAACTTTTAAAATTTTACAGACTTTATGAAGTATATACATCTAAAATGTAATGAAAAATTGTTTTTGAAAATTCAAAAGCTTTTTTAGTATGTTTCAGATTAATTCATTGTCTTATCAAAGTCTACACTACTTACTCCTTCAAATTTATACTACTCTAAACGATTATCTACTGAAGAAAAATTAAAATCAATTACTTTTCGTGAATTAATTCCCGATAATTATTTTTAATGATATATACATCAACAAGGTATCCATGTGTTTTCTGTAAAACTGTGTCCTTACAACAATACATACTGATTGTAAGTAGTTGGTACTGTTATACCACTGATTAAATGATCAAAGAATAATTTATTCTAATAATTACACTATTCACACTAATTCAACAGGAGTGTCTGTTAATTTTTTTAATTAAATCTTATTTATTTCAACGGTAAAAACTTTATTAATTTCAAATAAAACTTGTCAGAATTTTCTCTCTATTAAATGCCTGTATACTTAAAAACTGAATATTCGAATCACAAATTTGTATTCGAATATCAACTCATCGAATGAATATTCGAATATTCGTTGACATCCCTAATTTTAAATATCATTGGGTACTCATGTCTTTAGAAGTTTGTAATCAATGGTTTACATAGAAAAGCTAAAGTTGCAAATAAATTGTAAAAAAAAAAAATCATATGTATGTGTTTTATTATTTCAACATCAACATTTGAAAGGACACAGAGAAGCTTTTGTAAATGGATTTTATTGATTCTTCATGTTTTTTACAGGAAATAGTGCTGATTTAAGATTAGTTAGGACGTACATAGAAATGGCCTTACCAGGCCATAGAATAGAATTCCTGATGTCAGAGCGAAATCAGGTAAGTTTTGTTTTATATGTACACGTAGTTTGAAATTTTTGTAGTCATAAGAGATATGAATTTTTTAGCCTCTTCATTGATTTGTTAAATGTGATATGCCTTTTACTTCATTCATCAGTAAACTGTTTTATCTCCCTAGGACACCTTTGCTGATTTTGATTTGATGACAGATAGACTAGCCAATGAGATTAATAGTTTTATAGAACTTTACGGGTTCACTCCTACCAGAGTCAGGTAAAATTATTTTGATCTTTAATTTCAAAGATTACGAAAATACAGATATGTAATTCAAGTTCACAGTGACAAAGAAATATTTCGAATTTTATTCTCGGAACCTTGTACTAATAGAGCAATGTTGTGTTACAGTTTTGTGGGGCATTCTCTGGGGAATTTGATCATTAGATCTGTGATATCTCTGCCAAAGCTCTCTCACCTGATCCCTAAACTCTATACATTCCTCTCCCTGTCTGGGCCTCATCTAGGAACCCTCTACAACAACAGTGGTCTGGTCAACATGGGTAGGAGCTCATTCTGTTTTTCTTGTTAAACACTCTACTGTGAATACTGTAAAATGAGAATCTTTGGCGCACTATTAATTTTAGCGCCTTTGGCGCAAGAGCCATTGAACGCTAAAATTTATTGTGCGCTAACGGATTTCTAAATATTATTGTGTGTGTTCAAAGCTTTTACATAAGTACATGTAAACTGGAATGCGCGATTACGTAATGTCGAAGGGTCGTTCGATTTTATATACACACTAGCACTGCACACTCTATTTGGGAGGATCGATCGAGAAAGATCTGCCAAATTATAATTTAATTAAATTATTGTTTCCCGGTAGTTGTTACCCGATTCTTATCATTGGACTTTTACGAGGAGCGCTGACTTTTACAGTTGACGCTTACTTTTACACTAGGACTATGTACGGTAGCTCTTTTATGATATAAATATTTAGCTCAACATTTAATTAAACAAAAATAACGGGTTATTCAATGCACATATAAGTTGTCATTGAAGAAAACGACAACTACCCTACCCTCAACTCCCGGTCTTCACATGTTGGTGCCCCTGACACCATACCTATGACCACTAGAAAGGTTTTCTTATGCCTTTTCAATTCTGTACTTCTGTACAGTGTACATGATACAAGTTTAAATGTCCAAGTAAACCGTCAAGGCATCAACTGTAGAAGTCAGTGCTTCTCGTAAAAGTCCATTAGCACCTTCAAAGTGTGACTTCTCAGCATGTTAATCATCTATCGCCTTGAGGTAAACAATGCAATCAAGCATGGCGAATCTTGAGCTTGAAGACAATACCTGATTATGATTATCGTTTATTCAAGTAACTTTCTTTCGATGCTTGCATTGTTTTAATTTGAATAAAATGCGTAAATACTCCATTTCTTTTATTTAAAATATAATAAATTTTAACATTGTGCCACGTCCTTGTGATTCCAACACCACAGTAAAGTTTACAAAATTAATGTTTACTTAGATACGGGAGTGCTACTGTGTTTCCATGCTTGAATAACCAAAAAGACAAACGGGTGTGGATAAAAAGACAAAATATCACATTTATAAATTTTTAATGACAAGTGCAAGCGCTAAAATTTATTTGCGCCAATGCATTCCAACTTGTGTTTGCGTTAAAATACGTATGCGCCAAATTTTCTCGTTTTACAGTATCCACTTGTATGTCAGACTTTTTGGAAGAAAACTTTCTTTAAAGGCCGAGGTTTTCAACCGTACGGTTTTCCTCAGGTAAGTTTGGTGTGGGGTGGAGCTTAATCGAAATGATTAGCCCCGAAACGACTTTTTTTGTAAAAAAATATATACACAGGGTGTTATAGCCCCTGAATGTATTACAGCACGTTTAAAACAATACGACTTTGTAAACCGAGGCCATTTTTTTTTCATGTTTAGCTCATGAATTGAAATGCGAAATAAAGCATTTTTTGTTGCAGACAGAATCCTTCTCAATTTCTCTCTTTTAAAATAATTGATATTTTTAATAATTTGACATTTTTTATATACATTGTGTTTTTTAATGAAGTTATAACAAAAATACATTAGCACCAAAATCTGTCGTTGTATTCTGGCGACAAAAAGGGAAGTAATTCAAATTACACGTCGTCTACGCACAATGAAAGAAGAAAGTGAACCATAATTTTAACAGTCTCTCGGTAAATAACAATGAAACTTAGAAACGATGTTTTGAGAATAAAATGTTGAAGTAGAAATATTATTGTCTAAATAAATATATTTAACAAATAAACCCTACTTGATTTTTCCATAACGCTTGGTCGGTAAAAATGGCCAGGGCTTCGGACCGGGGTTGATTCCGCGACAGCTATGAAACGAAAAAGAATCATCTGCATCTTCTTTTTTTCTTTCGGGATTCATTATTAATTTCAAACATTAAATACAAAGCAAGATTTATATTCCGCAGTTAATTTCTCTTCAGCTATATATACCGTAAAATTTTCACCATGTCTTAAAAAAAACACGTACAGGTTTGTCTTATAAATATAAATTCGGTTGAACAATGTTACAATGTTGTCATACTTGTTTTAAAAAATAGTTTTATTTAATTCCATGATACTAGCTTTAAACGCTGGTCGGTTTATTTTGTTAATTAATGGAGGAATAAATATACGTTAGTTAACTCATGTTTTGACACGGAAATTAAAATTATCGATTGTAATTGTGATATGAAATCCTCCCTTTTAAAATTAAATTTATAATACATAATATATAGCCATGATTTCCTTGTCATTTATTCAATAATTTGATAGATTGATTATATTTATGGCATATTCTTATGAATAAAAAAAAGAAAAGAACGATTTGATTGCTTCTTTATCACGTTGGCATACAGTGCGGTAGGCATCAAAAGCCTGAGAGTTAATTCGATGGTCGGTACGATCTCCAGACAAGGTGCACAAGATATACACAACAGCAGCAAACTAAATGTCAATCAAATCAAAGTATCCAATCCCAGACTTAATTTCAGATGATTGACAGTGGTTCTAGGACCAGGTAAATTTGAAGGAGGTGCTTATTTCCTCCCCCTTTAACATGATAACAAAACTGTTATGTAATGTTGACAGGAATGTGGTTCATGCAGAAGTGGAAGAAGTCCGGGTCACTGTTACAGCTGTCACTCAAAGATCACCAGGACCCCCGCCAGACCTTCCTGTACAAACTCAGCCAGAAACCAGGTCAGGGTCATAGAATTCAGGTCTTTAGGTCAGAGGCAAAAAAAAAAGAGTTGATTATGTTCATTTTAAAAGTTAGGCACATAGTCTACATGCTGGACTTTCTCACACACACTCTTTAAGCTTAAAAAATTGAAGATGACACTTACCAAGGTGCAAAAACATTTTGATCCCAAGTTAGAAATTTGTTTCAGTAAAAAATATATATATATATTAAGGACCTTTGTCTACCCTAAAATCTTAGGTACTATTTAAAAATAATTCAAATTAGAGCATTGGAGTGGATAAGATTGACATGGTTTTACAGAAATTGAATGTATCATATCTGAATTGTAAATGTGCATTTGAGAATCTATTTTATCAAACAATTTAGAATAAGAAAAACAAATTTAAGTTTTTTTGTCACAAACAGGTTTGGAGATGTTCCGCCATGTGCTGTTAGTGGGGTCTTCTCAGGATCGCTATGTTCCCTACCATTCATCCAGGATCGAGATGTGCAAGTCAGCTCAGCGAGATAGCTCAGGCATGGGTAAGATATCTCAATGAAGTTTTCCACACATTCAGGAAACCAATTTTTATTCTGTTATTATTTTTAATTCTCTTTATTAACTTATATTCATTCATTCATATCTTTATATTTCATTCACTGATATGTTAAGTGTTCTAACTTGTTTTTTTAATGAATCCCAAATTCAGGAATTCAAAGCAATACTTTATTTTGTTTATATCAATTTATATAATATGTTTAATCTTCAAACTTTCTAGAATGACTGTAAGACTTATTTTTTCATTATTAAGGTGCTATATATAGTGAAATGGTGGCCAACATCTTGACTCCAGTGGTGAACAATGCCAATTGTAAGCTGATTCGTTACGATATTTTCCACGCTCTACCAAACACTGCCAATACAATCATCGGAAGAGCAGCCCATATAGCTGTGCTGGATTCCGAACTGTTCATAGAAAAATTTCTCACGGTAGCGGCCTTAAGATACTTTAAGTGACGAGCTGTGCTTAGTCATTTCATGTTACTAAATGTTAGTGACCTTTATTTATTATGGAGAGAGAATATAGTCCCAAATCTTGTATATATTATGTCTGTGATATGACTGATTTATAAGTTATATGTGCAACAAAGATTTTTATGTTTTGTGGATTTTTCAGCTGAGGTTTTGATATAATTTACATAAAAATACGAAATAATTATAGTATTATTGACGATGGAATGTTTTATGGGGATGATGATGCAGTGCTTATTTAACAAAATTGTGGGGTGTTTTTGTATTTTTTTTTTGTTTCTGCAATATTGAGGGTGAAATGACAAGAGCAAGCACAAAAAAAATATGGGAAATGCCTATAGCTTCATCATACATATGATATTCCATTTTTGAACTAAGAATTTAGAGCAATGTAATTTTTTTTTTAATTGTAAAATTCAGACAACTAAATTTTTCCTGGAAAAAAATTTTCTCCAGCAAATATTATGCATTTAAAAAAAATGCATTGTGCTTTCCTTTGAATTTGACCCAAGCAGTGAAAATTTGGAATATCATTTTCTTTTAGACCACACAGCTCATTAGTTCATGTAGTGGAATTCAAATTCTATTTTGATACAGTCCTTTGATAAATTGGATATCAAATATTTCTTGAAAAGATTTGTTTTGTCATAACAGTATTTCAGTCAAGTATTGTGAGTTCTTGCTCCATGTTTTTTTTTTTTTTTTAAATGTATATTTTTTATGCATATTTTGAAAATATGCTCTCCAATCAATGGAGCAAAGACCCACTCATTAAAAAAAAAATTATGAAGAATTATGTTACTTACTTTGATATGTGCATGCTATTTCATTTTGCAATTTTTTCGAGTAGCAAATCATAGAGAGGGTACAGTAAAACTCGGTTATGACGAACACCTGTGAAATTACTTCGCTATATCCGTAATTCGTTATATACGTTATAGGGAATATCTAGAATTTCATTGTGGGGGATCTAAGAAAATTTCGCTATATCCGTAAATTCACAATAACCGTGTTCGTACTAAACGAGTTTTACTGTGTATACAATAATTTTAATTGAAACTTGAAAGAAAATTTTGTTATTGGGACTTTTTTCACCTTTTTTATTAGTCAAACCCTGGGCATTTTTCTCAGTTAGTTCTCCCACATTCTTATTAACTAATAGATTTTAAACATTGAGGCAAAAATAATTTTCAAAATAATAGAAAAAAAACGTTTTTTAACTGCAAAATGTCATCGAGTATGCATGAGATTGTTAGTTAAGTTTATAAAATCGTTTAATGTAAAATAGTATACATGTATTCGTGATACACATTGTACAAGTGCTTTAGTTTTTTGGTTAAATAGTATTTGGAGTTGAGAAAAAATGTTGTACAGTGTATTTTGTGCATGATATGAAAAGTCCTATTTTTATTCATCCAATGGATGAATCAGCTGAACATAAACTGTTGTTTAACTTAAAATATATATTTATTAATTATTGTTACTTGCATAATTTTGTATAAATGATTGTTACTAATTTCAGATGTATTTTCGTCCTGATTTAGATTCACCTGTTATAGAAGAGGCACTATTTTTTGCAATAGTATTGATATAAACAGAATATTGGAGTTTCTTTTTCACTCAGATATACGTTTGTGCAATGTGCCTTGTGTGGGGGGTGATTTTGGTTTTACCCATACTGCAGTTAATTACATGTCACAAAAATTCAATTTAATAGTATTCACTCTAAATTATATTTTTATTAGCATTTCCATCTGTGTTATTACAAAGTGTATCTTGCTTTTCAGACTATCATGGCATCATTTATAAGTATGGTACATTTTTTTTGTAAAGTACAATAAAATGTTTCAGTCACATTTGGGCATTTTTGAGTGATGTAAAAGTAGGGTAGGGTCCATATTTTGAAATTCATTTTGGAACCTATACCTTTGTTTTTTGACTTCAGCAGTAAAATTCTGTGATACTATTCAACTTGTGATCATTTATGTACATATTGTTAAAATTTTTGAGAGTCAGAGAAAACATTATTATTTCTGATATGCATGTATTTTTACAGTTATTGATGGATTATTTTTTACATTAAAAAAAATGCAATGAAAGGGCATAATATTTGCTGCAATGTGGTTGAAGTCCTTTTTTTCCCAGAAAGCTCTATATGACAGTTAAGTTTAAGTTAGAATCTCCCAATGGAATGGTGTCTGTATGTTTATCCACACTTCACCCTTAAAATGTTAATCATTAAATGCACAGCTATCATCATTTGGATCTCCTTCAATTTGTTCAATTTGTTTGCATTATCTTGAAATAATTCTTTAATTTTTCACGTTTTTTGACATGAAGATATTTTATACATTGTGTATTTGCTATTCGTATCAGATTTTTTAATGTCATAAACATTGTGTTGAATGTTTTTAATGTTCATTTAAACATTGTATATTGTTTTCCAAAACAGAACATGCAAAATACACACTGACAGATGCTCTAATTTTTTTTACAAGCCATACTGGAATAGAAAACCTGTGTTTTTGTTTCGTTTTTTAGCTCACCTGAGCCATTTAATTTGTCTTCACGTTGTTGTCGGCGTTGTCGTGTATTTTCACATTTTCATTGTGTTTCAACCAAACTTGCCATAAAGTATCCTTAGGTGAAGGGGATTCAGGTTTGTTCAAATTTTCATGCAAAGAAAAATTACACACTTCTTCTCAAGACCACTGGGCCAGGAAAGATGAAACTCATGTGGAATCATCACCAGGTAGTGTAATTTTTTTTACAAGGGTGGGGCCAAAATGGCCATATTAGGAATATATAGGAAAAATCTTTAAAAATCTTCTTCTCAAGTGTTTTCATCACCAGTTTCAGTTTGTTCAAATCATGACCCCTGGGGGTAGGTCGGGCCAAATTGGAATATATAGGAAAAATTTTTAAAAATCTTCTCCATGTGGAATCATCACCAGGTTTTTTTGTTCAAATCATGTAGGGTGGGGCAAAATGTTTTTTACATAGGAATATATAGGGAAACCTTTTAAAATCTTCTTTTCAAGAACTTCAAATCCATGCTTAGTGATATTTATATGGATTATCCTCAGGTAGTGTAAATTCATGTATATTCAAATACTCAGTAGAAATGTGCTTTTTCCTAGCAAATTGCTCAGGTGAGCGATGTGGCCCCTGGGCCTCTTGTTTTAAATTGTCATTTCCAGTGTTGTTTTCTGTTCTGTGCAATGTTTTCGTATATGCCTTGGTTTCAAGATTTCCTGTAGTGGTATATTCAAAGAGAAATTCATATTACATTTCTTCAAAAACATTGAAACAATTTGTTTGTTAATCATGTTAAGATAAAAATGATTGTATCCTAAACATCTTCAGGAGAATGAGAAGAAAATTGAAATTCTTTTTAGTTTTGTTTTCTTTTACTTAAAAACTGAATATGATATGGTCCATGATTGTTGATGTATTTATGACAAATTGAGACGAATTTAATGTATGGTCTTTGTATGGTAAAAAAATTGATTTCTCAAAATGTTCCTCCTGAATTTGAATCAATTTTCTCAAAGAGTACTGCACTTGTATTTAGTTTTATTTTCAATTTATCCTTTAAAAAACCCTTTTCTTATTACATACATTTACAAAGATGAGATTTAGAGATGTTGCTAAACTGCATTTTAAACAATATCCTTTTCCCCTGGGAATCATTATTATTATTTTTTTTCACTATTTTAGAAATTTTTAAATTTTCAAAGACAAACAAATGCATTATCGTACCCCTAAAAAGCTTATTTCAAGCAAATGTATATATACAGTAAAACTCGGTTAGTACGAACACGGATATTGCGAATTCACGGATATAGCGAAGTTATCTTGGATCCCCAGTTATATAAATGTAACATATTTCTTATACGGATATAACGAATTACTGATATAGCGAAGTAATTTCATAGGTCCTAGTGACTTCGTTATAACTGAGTTTTACTGTATGTAAAATATACATTTAATTTGCAAACATGTAGAAAACAATTTCACATTTTTGTTAAAATCAAGTGTAACTAAGAGGTCATCTTGGATATGGTACTTATCATAAAAAATATGCTAGTGCTATCTACGTAGCAGCTAGTCTAGTTTTATGTTCAAGTGTGTAGCTTTATAGCAGTTTTGCTGTTGAACAAACCCAAAACCAATATCACCAACAGCACAAGATTTTATACTGTATCTAGAATTAGTTGTAGCAGAGACCTACATACTAGTATATAGGTCCCTGGTTGTAGCAAAGAATTTCAGATCTCAACTGACCAAAAAAAAACAAACTTTCTTCCAAAATTTATTTGTTCTTCGTATAAATCAGATTCCTTGTGCACACTGGGGGAGTATTCGACTTAGGGAGGGATTCTTCTCGTATTTCTTGTATTTAAAAATTAACTAAATTTTCACAGAATCAAGAAGACAGTATTACAAAGTGATGGTATCAGATTTAATTTGTTTTATATTACAAGCAAGGTCAGGTGTAGGTCATTACCTTTTCCCTGGATGTTGGGAATAGCAAGCAAAGTCAAAGTATTGTGGTCCCCGCTTTCAGTGTCTTTATGGGCGAGATGTCATTATTTATGACATATTGTGTCAAATATGAAGACCCTATCATATGTCATTCAAAAGTTATCACCAAAGTTGATTTTTGTAATTAGGTCAAACATCAGGATCAAGGGCTCAGAAATCATTTGCTCGGAAACATCTTGTCACCGGTAATACACATTCAAATATACATGTAAAAGTCCCATCTCTTCTCTGTCAAAAGTTATAAGGAAAAAATAACATTTTTGAAAAGGAGGTCATACGTAAAGGTCAAGGATACCAGGTCAAAAATAATAGTGTTTTGTCACAGGTAATGTACATGTGAAAGGTGAATCTTAATCTTCTCATCAAAAGTCATGACCAGTGATAAAGTTTTTGAAATGTATGTCAAACTTAAAGGTCAAGGGGTCAAAAATCAGTGTATTTAGAAAGGCCTTGTCACAAGTAATAAACATTTTCAAGTAGAAAAGCCCCATTTGTTCTCATTTAAAAGTTTTGGCAAATTTAAAGTGTTTTTTTCTCTTGCCGTCTGCTGTTATGAATGTTAAATAGGTCTTTCCTGAGCACATGTCCAAAAATCATCTCCACTTTCTTGTCTTACAATCTCCACCACTATGTCTTCCTGTCCTGAAACATCTCTTCTCTTTCAAAAGACTTGTTTAAAGTTTTTGTGACACCTGATCTTAATTTATGGTCCGTAGGCAACGATTTCTAAACACTCTCTCTTTCAAAAGATTTCAATGAAAAGCCCTTTTGTTTTTTAAAAGTTTTGGCAAATTTAAAGTGTTTCCATATAGATATATAAGATGAAACTCCAAATTGACGTAACTAAAATGGATATTGGTTTTCTCTATTTTTTCTGAAAATTTTCATAGGAAATGTTATCTTTTGTGAAAGCCCTATCTTTCTTCTCTTTCTTATATTAAAATTTTCCTTTTTGTGACACATAATGGGATTTAATTTCCCCAATCATGCGATTTCTACTTCTATTTCAAAAGATTTTATGTTTTTTTTTTCTTTTTGCATAAAAGATACAACCACATAGATATATATATAAGATGATACTACCAAATTGACGTAACTAAAATGGATATTGGTTTTTTCTATTTTTTCTGCAAAATTTTCAGGATATATTACTTTTGTACTCATTTTCTTATGTTTCTTATATTTAAAATTTTCCTTTTTTTCACATATGGTAAAGTTGCCACATAAACATACAAAGTAATATCAAAAGTTTTGATCATTAACCAAGAGAGAAAAACACTTTTTACGGATATTTGGCTCAATTCTGTACTTTCATTGGAAGGTTTTAAAAGGTTGCATCAAATTGTGCGGATCTAGAAAAATATGATCTTTTAAACCTTTTGCACCTGAATATATGACATTTAAAAAATGTATATACAAATATACAAGAAATATTTCATCTTGTCCCCCCATGGAAAACGCTGACCCCCTGGTGAACATGAATATGTGTAAAATGGGTATGAAAAGTGAAAGATTTGAGGCAATAGAAGTCATAGATTAAACAAAAACAAAAAAAAAAACAAGCACCCAGTTCCGAGTTCGTTCTTTTTATTCACTCACTCAACATTTTTGGCAAATCAATCGGAAATAAATTAACAAGGAAGTTTATAAAGGATGTGTACTTACTATTGACAAATGCAGAAAAGGTGAAATGATTCAGACTAAGGGAAATTAATATAAAAGTAACACGGTACTAAATATAAGCAAATCGTGTTCAAAAATATTTCCTCTCTCCTTCCGATCTGGCTTCATCAATCACATCTAAAGCTGACATTAAAGCAATGGAATCCAGAGGTACGTAATTATTAGTCTGATCATTTTAAATTATAATTATCCATTCACACAGTCGTGCTATTTTTGTCCAAAGTTCACTTATTCGTGAGAAAATTGTAAAATTCTCGAAATTATCCATAATTTCAACTGACAATTTAAGAAAAAAAAATTGCAAAGATTAGGACGAGGTTAATTTTGTCGTGTAGAATGGCAAGTTTTAAATCAAAGTGTGTGATTTTTGGCGAAAGTAAATGGAAAAATTCTGTCAAGAGTCAGGGTAAATATGAATTAAAGTATATGTCATGATGTTGAATAAAAGTAAATAATGGATCTTTGTTGAAAATTTTATTTTAAAAAAATCGTCTTCTTTCACAAAACTGTTGGACTGCATTTAAAATATTTTGCTTGTCATTCTTATCAAATTATAAAGTTTTGTCTAAATTTGCATTTAATTTATAAAAATCTAAAAAAAAAAAAAAAAGACTGGTTTCGATCATAAGGACGTATTTCCACTACATGTTATTTTCATTTTACATGCACACACAACAAGTGCTTCCGTACACCTGTTCTAACCAATTACAGAGATTCATGCTTTTTTTTAAAATATATTTTCCTCCTCAGAATGTGAGTTCTGGAGATATGGACAGAACTGCTCGCAGACCTGTGGACACTGTGGGGATAATGTGACGTGTAGTGCAGAGGGACTGTGTACTAGCGGGTGTCAGTACGGATGGCGGGGGCGCCAATGTCTTCAGGGCAAGAATTGACACAATTTTTACCAATATAAAAGTTAACTTTAAAGAAATCGTATAGCCAGTTCCACTAGAAACATTGAAATTTTATTTTATTTTTATGCCCCTGTTATCGACGATTCGGTGGTATATAGTTTTTACTCTGTCCTTCCACCTGTCTGTCTGTCTGTTTCTCCTTAAAAACATTACCCTGCATAATAATTTTTGATTGGTTGAGGCTGTGGCTTTCATATTTCACGTCTTTTCATTGTGTCAAGACTTTTCCTTGTGTAGTACAATCAAATTTGACCTTGGAGTATGACCCAGTTTTGCAAAATTTTACCCAACTTTTACCTTGGCCATAACGTTTAAATAGTTGGCTTAAGTTTTCATACTTCACATACTAGTATGTAATCCTTGAACACAACTTTCTATTGGATACCAACGACTTTGACCCTTTAATTTTGGCATAAGAGGTTAACCTTGGCCATAATATAACTTTTGAACAGGTGGTGCTAGGGCTTTCATATACCGTTTATATTTCACATGTGTATTTTTTGTTAGAAGACCTTACTTTGGATACCAATATATTTGATTTGTATGGGAGAGAGTGTAACCTTCGATATAAGTTGTCATACGGGGTATCAGTATTTCACAGTCACAGGTTTTTTTTCTATATTTAAATCAAATTTATATTATTTCAGAATATTGAATTGTTTTATTTTAATTAACAATAAACTACAGTAAAAAATGTGTCCAAATTTTAAAACTCTCGATCTATTATTATTATCTTATTAACATACATCTACAACTAAATGTTTTAATTAATTTGTGAATATCTTTGTTAACAGTTGATGACATGGAACCTTACCCTCTCTCGACACTTTTATTATCTGGCTTCCTAGCAGTTTCACTGATTATGCTGTTGTTTGTTTCACTGGAATTGCGTAAACAGATTAAAAGGTCCATTCATTTATATTTTACATACAATTATTTTTATACCTCCGTATTCGAAGATTTTGGGGTATATATATAGTTTTTGCCTTGTCTGTCCGTCCGTCCGTCTAGCTGTCTAGCTGTTTTGTCTAACTGTTGATCTGTTTGTCCGCAAAAACTTTCACCTTGCATATAACGTTTAAGTGAGCTTTCACATTGCACAGGTGTGTTTCTTGTGAAAAGACCTTTTTAAGGGTGCCACCAAATTTGACCTCCTGACCTTGACCTTGGTTTTTGAAAAAAACCTTTACCGCAAATTTCAAACTTTTACATTGCTCATAACTTTTGAACAGTTGGCGATAGGGCTTTCATTTTTCTTATAAGTATTCACTATGACAAGATCTTTCAAAGGGCATAAATATTTTGACTGCCTTGAGTTTATAATTGACCCACTTTAAAAAACGTTAATCTTGCAACGGCAACGTGTTGACTTGGGACCGCTGACGTTTTGAGGATGCATGGGGTTTGACAAAATAGGGGATTGTTTAAATAATGGTTTCTTGGTCAAACTGGGATTACATACTAAATGGAGACAAAATGTGTTTGTGAAACACTTATGCCGAAGATTGATGTTTTTCAAATGCAAGTCACAAAGTCAAAGGAAGGACATATATATACATCTGATTTAAAGTATTGACAATGCAATGCACTTTATGTTATTCCTTTTTTTATTATGTTTATCACAGACATTGTTTTAAAATTGTTATGTTTAAAGCTTATGGTATATATCCCTGTGTCCATTTAAAAAAAAAATAAAGTTGGAATTATACAATTAATTTGATATTGAATTGATATCAGCCAACTCTTGACAGAAAATGTCCTCTTGTTTATAATGTTTTGTTTGCCTGGGAAGGGGGGGGGGGCTACAGACGTAGTAAAAATATGTGACATTTTTTAAAAATGTAAATGTTCAAAATTTCATTAATTAATTGGGAAAAGAAGTAATTAAAAAGTAATGAGAATTAGATTTAAAACTTGACTTGATTTTAACAACTTAGACTCTAGACTCCAGGGTATAATAAGCAAGCTCGTGTAATTGTAAATAATTCAGTGTAATTTACTTAGATAATTCTGTTTCTAAACCAATTTCTTTTTCACTATTTATCAGTTTATGGTATAATGTACACATTTTTCAATTTTCATTAGGTAAAATTTGAAGCCATTGTTTACAATTTTCGTCATGTTTCCCTACTTTCAGTTTAAAAAAAAAAACGATCTCCATAGATCCAGATTTTGTTGATAATTTTTTTTATTTACTAACTTCATCTCCTAATAACACTATATCCCCCCTTATTTAATCCAAATTATATTATTTCAAGCAATTTTGTAACCCTTTATTGCTCCAGCCTAGTTACCTAGTCAGCTGTGTTCGTTCAAGCGAGACATGATTTCCTACATGTAGGTTTCAATTTTCACACCTCTGCTGAATTAAATAAACAATTTTAAATATGGCTATCGAAGAGTTATCTGTATACATTGAATAAACAAAGGAGCTAACCAGGACTACACAATTTTTGTACATGGTACATCTAAAAAAAATCATTTTCGCCACTTATGAATTTCTTTTCGCCACTTTTGAAAAAAATTCGCAATTGGCGACAATGGCGAATCACAGCTCGAGCCCTGTGCAGCATGGGGTTTGACAAAATAGGGGATTGTTTAAATAATGGTTTCTCGGTCAAGCTGGGATTACATACTAAATGGAGGCAAGATGTGTTTGTGAAACACTTACGCCGAAGATTGATATTTTTCAAATGCAAGTCAAATTCCAAAGTCAAAGTTTTTTTTAAAAATGGGTCAAACTCTAAGGTCAAGGTCAAAAATATATATATACCCATTGAAAGGCCACAATGAATACCCATGTAAAGTATTGAAGCTCAAGCGTCATTTGTTCAAAAGTTATGGCCAAGTTTAAAGTTTAATATTTATTGTAAAAGTGGGTAAAACTCCAAGGTTAAGAGGTCAAATTCGGTGGTCCCAAAGAAAGATTTTGTCACAAGGAATAGTGGAATACATCTATTAAATATGAAAGTCATAGCCCCACCCATTCAAAAGGTAGGGGTGAGGTTAAAGTTTTTGAGGACATACAGACGGACGGACAGGGCAAAAACTATATACCCCTGACTCTTCGATTGCGGGGGCATAAAATAGGCTACCGTAAAAAGAACAATATTACATGTACATTCTATAGATATCAAGTCTCGCTATGAAATACTGTATGTGGATTTTGTTTATATATTCAATGTTGATGAGGAGAAAGTTCAGGCAAGCAGTGTGATCCAAGGGACATTTTATCTGTAGACTTGAGCACGTACGTGTTAGAAACGTTATACGTCCTTTCAATTTCAGCAAAACCAACGTGAGATTAAGCAGCTACGAAATCCCTGGCGAACAATTGATTAAAAAAGAAAGCGGTAAGATACATGATACATCTAATATGCAAGACACAATTATATTTTTTATGAAATCTTAAAACCTGTTGGGTCATCTAAACAACACAAGTTGGTAAAAGGTTGTTTTGAGTTTGGTTAACATTGGAAATTATTCACCTTTTAGTAGATAGTCAGTTCTATTTTCACTTGTTATTCAGTTCTGGTTTCCTTTAAATATTACCTTAAAGATGCACATCATTATGCAAAGTGGTATTAACTTTTTATATTGATGATATGCAAAAAAGTTGATTGGATTTCATCTATTGTAGAAAATCGTTATGGGACTTTGGACGAACATAATCTGAAAACATCTAAAAAGTTAACAGACGATGAAAATGGGACATCCTCAAAAAATAACAATTTTTCCAGTTCCGGGTATGAGAAGCCACCACAATTATCTGGTTCAGCTAATCTTTCTAGTTCCGGATACGAGAAGCCACCACGGATAACTTGTTCAACGGATCTTCACAGTTCCGGATTTGAGACGCCACCCGGTTCGGCTAGATCAAGTTATGGTGATTACCTTTCCGGTTCCGAATATGAGAAACCTCCAAGACTAGCTGAAATAGAGGCAGATCGAGATTCATCTCATTACACTATTCCAAATATGGCCTATAACGTGCCATATAGTAAATCTTCTGCTTAACAAACCTTCCCCCGAAAAGTTTACTATATATGAAGTAAAAGCTTCCCCTCTGAGTGATTGCTTCACAGCAAACATCGCTTCCGGATATACCTACGTAGTAAATTTTCCCTCGTGGAAATACTACGGTTAAGATCCACTACTGTATAGCAACAATCCCATACATACATCAAAATCCAAACGATTCCATGGATTTTTGCTATAAAAGATACTTTTGATCTGCATATCTTAACTTTCCTACAATCATAGTGAAAAGGATATCTGGACCATCGTCACCGAGTTTTAAATTCTCCTTAACTGGAGCTAAAGTGGCAGATTTGCTTTGAAAACAAAACATTTTCTCTCATAATTTCTGGAGTAATGAAGTGTTGTGACCTTGAAAAGAATTTATGGTAGTTATGTATTAAAAGGTTTCCATATGTTTTTTTATGTAATTTGTGGGGGGAAAATTGTAAAGATAACAAACAATGGTCGATCCCGAAAGATATATGTTCCAAACAAATCTATAAACAGGGCATAAATCACGGAATCCTGGAAATTCCAGAGGTGGGATGAGATGCCTAGGAGGAGTAAGCATCCCCTGTTGATCGGGTGTGTAAAATCCCTGTAACATCAACTTATCTGTCAGTAGCCTGCCTCGGTTTTAAAAACTGATCGTACTGGGATGATGATTATTGAATATTGAATAAGTTGGGAGACACCGTATGCAGGTGATACCGGAATGTTTTTACATAAATAAGGAAAGTTGACTATGGAAAAGTTGAAGATGATGAATGCAATATTGTATTCTTGAAAAGAATTTGTTAGTAATTTGTATTTTAAACAAGAGGCACATGGACCAAAACTCTCACCTGAGTAATTTTGACCCTGCTGTTTTTCACAAGAGTCCCCCTTTGAAATACCTTTTTGTGGTTCCATCCTCTTCCCCCCCCAGGGGGGGTCATGATTTAAACAATAAGAATATTAATACCAGGATACTTCCACAAACGTTTAAGCAAATTTGGCCCAGTTATTCTCGAGAAGAAGATTTTAAAACATTTCCCCTATATATTTCAATGTAAAAATTGGATTCCTTTTTGTGGCCTTGTCCTACCCCCGGAGGACATAATTTGAACAATTTAAAATCTACACTAAACCAGGATGCTTTCACATAAGTTTCACCTTTTGTGGCCCAGTGGATCTTGAGAAGATTTTTAATGATTTTTTTAAAATATATTTATTTCAATGTAAAATTGGATTCCGTATTGCGGCCTCTCACAACCCCCAGATGATATGATTTGAACAATCTAGAATCTACACTACCTCAGGATACTTCCACATAAATTTCAGCTTTTCTGTCCTAGTGGTTCTTGAGAAGATTTTTAATGACCTTACCGTATTTTTGCTTTTACTTAATTAACTACCCTTGAAAGGAGAACTGGTTCCTCATTTTAAAAAATTAAACTACCCTTTACCCACGGATGTTCTGTTCCAACTATTGTTAAAATTGACCCAGTGGCTCTTGAGCAAAAGTTGAAAATGTGGAAAGTTTACAGATGGACGGACGACGGTCAACGGGTGAATAGAAGAGTTCATTGAGCTTTCAGCTAAGTTGAGCTAAAAAGGATATTCACAAAAATGATACTTTTTTTAATTTGATTAAAAGAGATTAAGCACTCGGGCATCAGATAAGAGCCTTGCACATGTATGGCACGCCAAATTAAAAAAAAATGAGCTATACCTAGTTTCACAATTGATAAACTAGGTTTATCGACTGTAAACTATGGCACGCCAAATTCACAAAAATGAGATAAACCTAGTTTCACATTTGATAAACTAGGTTTATCGACTGTAAACTATAGTTTACAAACCGTAAACTGTAGTAAACGATTCGTTAAGTATAGTTTTCATCTGTAAAACTATATTTAACGGTTGTTAACTATAGTTTACGAATGATAATCTAAGTTTATCTGTCTGTAATAAGCATTAACAATAGATTTTGTTGATAAACATAGATTCACGTTTGTAAACTATAGTTTACGATCGTAAACTATAGTTAAGAGTTGTTAATCATAGTTTCACAAATCGTGAAACTATATTTATCAGATCGTTAACTATAGTTAACGGTTTGTAAACTAGAGTTTACAAATCGTGAAACTGTATTTATCAGATAATCTATATTTTGCAATCGCAAATGATTGTTTTCAGTGTTAAGTATAGTTTACGGTTGTGAAACACAGCTGATTATCGCGTTAACTATAGTTTACAGATGTAAAATATAGATTAACGTTGTTAACTACAGTTTACATTTCGTAAACTGTAGTTTACAACCGATAAACCTAGTTTATCGACTGTGAAACTATGTTTTGCTCATTTTTGTGAATTTGGCGTGCAATAGTAAACTATAGTTTACAAACCGTTAACTATAGTTTACAATTCGTTAAGTATAGTTTTCATCTGTAAAATATATTTACCGGTTGTTAACTATAGTTTACGAATGCTAATCTAAGTTTATCTGTCTGTAATAAAATGTTAATAATAGATTTTGTTGATAAACATAGATTCACGCCTGTAAACTATAATTTACGATCGTTAACTATAATTAAGAGTTGTAAACCATAGTTTACAATCGTGAAACTTTATTTATCAGATAATCTATGTTTTGCGATCGTAAATGATTGTTTTTGTGTTAAGTATAGTTTACGGTTGTGAAACATAGATTATCGCGTGAACTATATATGGTTTTCAAATGTAAAATATAGATTATCGTTGTTAACTATAGTTTACAGTAAACTATAGTTTACAACCGATAAACTTAGTGAAGATAGTTTATCGACTGTGAAACTATGTTTTGCTCAATTTTGTGATTTTGGCGTGCCATATGCATGCACCATTGTTGCGGTGTTTTCCCTTGCAGGCCATCGTGTTTTTATTTTTCATACACCATGAGTAGCTATTCCCTAAAACCATGCTCTGTTAAGATAAATCTACGACGGCGTATTCGTGCCATATTGACAATGTAGAAAAAAAAATTAAAAATCGTTTGTACGATTTTTTAAATCGTTCGAACGATTTAGAAAATCGTTTGAACGATTTACAAAATCGCACAAACGATTTGTTAAATCGTTTGTACGATTTAAGAAATCGTTTGAACGATTTTTTTTTCTGATTCGGAACATTAACGTACTGGATAAGAAACCTGGTAAAGCCATTGCATAGAGAATTCCTTTCGCTGCTGACTATATCAGGTACAGAAACACTTATAATAAATTGTATCTTGGATTAAAAAGCAGATACTCAGTACTTTGCATCTTTACAAATAATCCTTCCAAACAAAGATACATAGACTCCATTAATCACAAAGCCTCTTTTTGCATAAATTCTGTCTCGTTACTTCAAAAATAGGTCTGCTAATTATAATAACGGAACGAAATTGGTACCCATGGGAATTACGACATATTGTTGGAAAAACTTGATTCATTTTGTCAATCATACCTTTTTAATATCCCCTTCGGAGTACTTGTGTCAGTGTGTACAATCAGAATGTCAAAAAATTTTGTAAATAACTTATATTATCGAGTTTCATTAAAAAAAAAGGTGCTATCTATGAAGTAAAAAAAACCTGGACTTTATCATTATGGTAAATGGTTATATTAAGTGTTGAACATGGACTTTTCGATGTTATTGATTGTTGAACATTGACATTTCGCTGTTATTGATTTTGTTAAAATTTTGTGATTTTAAATTCTTTAAAAGCTCCTTGGAAGTTGTAAGAAGTATCCATATCTGATTCAAATCACTTCTCCAATATATTGTTGCAAAGTACTCCTGAAGTTTCTTCTTCACTGTTTTAGTGAGGAGTAAAAAATGTATTTATGAAAAGAAAAAGTTTCTTGCTGTGCTCCTTATTTCACAATTTTGATATATCAACGACGTTCCACACATCCATTTAAACTCGAAATAAAAGATAACAAGAGTTTGACACAAAGTTTCATTTTTGGATATTTTTTACTAGAAAGACATTATTGGTAACCTAAAAACAAATGTTGTCTATAAACGTCATGATCAACTTTTCTCTCCTTAACTTCCCTCATAATGTTTCAATATACCTTTACCATTATCATCTGTACATGAAGTTTACCCTCCCTATTGAATCGATACGCAAAAACCAAGCTCAATGTGCAAACAATTTCCAAAACGAAGCAAGCTATTAACAAACAAGGTAATGAAACAAAGAAAAGCAGTCTCGTTTAAACATAATTTAGCAAATTCTTTAGTCGATATTATGACTTAGTTACCATTACAATCTATTACTTGAAGTAGTGTGAAATAAAGTCATAGACATAGGTCCGACTAGCCCTATGCCAAGTTATGAGCAAGGTTAGCCTACTTAGTTTTGCAGACAAACAGACAGACAGGACAAAAACGATATAACGTTAGGTTACCCCTGAATCTTCGATTATGTGGCATAACAAGAATATGTTAGAAAAGACTTTCTGAGTCGATTCTGCATTAAAAACGATCTCTTGAAAAGAATGGAAAATACAACGTATGACCAGACTCGGTAAACTTGGGAAGAAAATCACCGACACCGCTATTCCCTTCACGCACGATTGCCTATTCCTTTTCTTTGCGAGAACTATTTGACATGTCAGCCCCAGGAGCGGATACACGTGGCCTAATAACTAATGAAAACATTTAACGAATGAAGTTCGGGGCGGATTAACCAGGGTTTTTAAAGGTTAATACTTTTCTTTGTTGGAACGTGTTTTGTATGGCGTTAAACAAGAGAGTGTGGCGATTTTACAAGTGTATCTAAAATATGAGAGGCAGAAACACAGTGCTGCTGGCTCTGCTATTTTTGGCTGGCCTCACGACTGTTTATATTTTGCATTCAGGCCCTGGCGTTTTTCAACAGCTTAATCGACAGTCTGGGACAGGAAAAGAGGTAAGTTGATATTTTGACAGTTTGCACATATGTAATGCTGTGTCTTTGAATGATAACGAATGTAAATTTCATCACGTTCCAAAGGAGAAAAACAAATCAGCTGATATGCACAAAACAGCTGTTTTATACCAACTTGTAATTTCTTAGATATTTAAGTTTGATTTTGGTTTTCAAAATCATTCCATTTGTAATGTACATGACACAATACACCAATTACTTATGTATTATCTATCTGTATCTACATGGCCTCCAGCTTGTACATCATATTATTTATGCATTGTGTATTATAACGTTAACAGTGGTTAAAGATCCAAGCACAGATAGGATGATATTGGCATAAAAACAAAATCCGACAATTACTTGGACTGCTATAAGCAGCCCATTAGATTATTCCATATATTTACATATATTTGAAAATTCTTTATCATTTTAACAAATAATTTTAAAAAATATTTTTATTCAAACAATTTTTATTAGCAGGCCTAAATTTGCGATAATTTATAATCAGCATCATGATTATAATGTGGGAGTTAGAGTGCCAGTGGCTATAGATAACTTAGTTCAGGCCAGTGATTTAGAGGGTCTGGGTTTGAGTCCTGAGTCTTTGGTATGCTCCATCTGTCTGGCCAGCTACCAGATTAAACTCAGATAATTCATATGAAAGACCACTTGACCAGTGATTAAGAGGGTCTGGGTTTGAGTCCTGGGTCTGCTCTATCTGTCTGGCCAGCTACCTGTTAGTGCTATGTCCTGAAAGGGAGGGAGGAATGTGGAGATCAGACAGATACAATCAAGAGGCCTTAGAAATCTCAGTTATTGATAGACCTGGAGAGCAAATGCTGGCCATTGTCCAAACTGTATATTTATTCTTCACAAAAAAGTGTTATAGATTTTTTATTGTCTAATGTGTGATGTCTTTTGCAAAAAATGGAAGATTTCAAAAAATTCCTCTCTCCTGGTATCAGTTCTCTCGTTTTTCCATCCAGAAGCATAATGTAATTTATTCTTTTCCAAAATGGCAGTATAAATAAGCACTGTTATTGCAATATCAGATATATTTATGTGTTTTGTTGTGGAAAGAGTGAATATGTTATTTATATTAAAAACATGGAGAAATAAATCCAACTCAGAATTTTAATAATCAGTAAATTTTATCTAGTTCTCGAAAAAGAAAATAACTTATTTAGGCTTCTGCAGCTACAATGGGGCCTTAGAAATTATGGTCCTGGGTTCAAATCCTGGCTCAGTAAAACACTCACTTTCAGGTTATAGTAATGTTTTTGTCTTATATGTTTGTCTTTTGGAAGTACTGTACTACCTTTATTGGTACAGTTTCTTTTTCCTCCAGAATGAAATGTAATTTATTCTTTTCAGTAGAACACTTTACTGTCAGATATATTTCTCTGTCTGCTATGACAAGTGATGATTTATAAACATGACTGATGCATAAATCCAATTAACTCAGAATTTTAATAATCAGTAAATTTTATCTAGTTCTCAAAAAAAAAAAATAAATTATTTAGGTTTGTTACATGGATTTATGGTCCTTGAAAAAGTAAAACACTATAAATTAATAATGTTTGTTACTGTTTGCCTATGGGAAGTATATATTTTAAGGTTGATTAAACGTATACATTTCTGTTGATGGTAACAAATCTAATACTGTAAGTAAAAGTAACTGATGCATTTGATATATATTAGAATGTTGGTTTTATTGTGTACCTAGATTAGTCTTCAAACTACAATAACAAGACCTGGCCTGAAGCAATAAAACTACCAAGTACCATAAAGATTATGTGGTTACCTTAATTTAAGGGGTTTGCATCACGAATGACAGATTAATTAATGCTTTTACAGATGAGAGAATGTATGTGTATACTGGAATTAGAATTGTCAATGGAAGAGAAGCTATGAGAGAGTAGTCACTGAAATAAATTACGTTAAATATAGAAATGACATAAGATGTTTGTCGGAGAAAATGATTGCCTCTTTGAAAACAACACTGTGATTAGCGTGTCAAAGAGAATATCATATTACGGATTTAATTTTTTATAAAGTACATCTCTTGAAGTAACTGTATACAGTTTTATCTATATGCTGATCAGATGGAAAATGAATCTCTTTATAGTTTTGAAGAAATATTGACTTGAGGGATGTAAAAAACAATTTCTCAAATCATGATTGATGTAAACAATGGCTGCTATAATGTTAGAGCCAGCTGTGAACTACACAGTCTATCAAAAAAATAAATATATTAATACGAATTATAAATCATTGCCTTGCTTGTCACGGGAGAATATTATTTATGATAATTGCATAGATTGTGGGCATTTTGTCTAATGCTAATATTTCTTTACTGTACAATGTAAATTCTGCTAATAAGGTCCTTCTCAACAATTCTTTTCCAAAAAATTAGAACATCAAGGTCACTGACAAAGAATGTGAGTAACATTCTGTAAAATTTGAAGAAATGTTCAGTGATTCAAGGTTTCTTGACAATGTCTAAAACGAATTCAAAATCAAACAGGTCAAGTTAAATCCTAACCTTAAAGTATAAATAAGGTGTTGGCTATTCATTGTTAAATAAAAATCAACAAAAAGGACCATGGTGAGCTACTGAATGAAACTTTTAAATCGAAATAGTTTCTTTAAAAGACACCATTTAGAAGGTTTTGTGCATTATAAGAAAGAGAAAGTGTCGTGGACGCAACGTGGTATGTCATATCCATTTTACAGCTTACTAGTCAACTTTGACTTGATTGTTACTTATGACATATTAAGGAAATATTTTAGCCTTTGTTGTAATTCTTTATGTTGTTGTATTCTGAGCTTTGGGCACACAAATGACCAGGATAAAAGTGTAACAGGGGAGGGTACTTAGGGGGTTACACTAGACCAGGATTCAGACCCGCGCCCCCTGAATCTCTAGTCAGATGCTCTACCAACTGAGCTATCTGGCTACTGTTGGTTGAACCTATCTGACCACCACATTCCTCCTTCCTTAGATATCTTAAGCCCACAAGGACGCCAACCTAGGCTCTTCCATGGCAGGTCTTTCATCTGTCACTTCCAGGGCAATGTCATGGTACCAGATATAATAGGACAGAAGAAATACTATGGACCAGACGGGGACTCAAACCCTGGCCCTCTATCTCCAGTCCAGTCATGTTCACTACCAAATGATCTCTCAGGACACCAGCAATCTTAATATCCATCTGACTGCCACTTAAGGTTTGATTCAGAGCATCTTCGCAAGCCAAGGGTTTTTGAAGGGTTTGTGGGGAGTGGACCAGAAACCTTTGGCTTGTTAAGACGAATTCAGAGTGGAAATTAATGTTTTAACATACATGAGAGAATTACCGGGTATAGTAAGGCATTTAGGCAGGTTTGATCAGTGGTAGTCAGAGAAAACAGTTATACAGACCCAGGTTTGAATCCTGGTTTGGCTCATTGCATTTTCTTCTTAATACTGTCACATCAATTGGTGCTGTGGAAATTACCCTGGAAGTGACAGATGATGGGGTCTAGGTTGAAGTTGAGGGGGGGGGGCATGAATGAACAAGGAATGTAAAGGTTCCTGCAGGTTTGTTTGCATGAGGCCAGAGAGCAAACAAACTCGGGGGGCAGGGAGGAGGGAGGAATGGGGGATGGGATGTAAGATTCAAAGAGAACTTGCCAATGGATTATATATAGCCAAAGCTTTGTGTTACAGTGTATATATATATGTATTGTAGAAAGTAAAAATATAATTTGTTTTAGCCTATAATGAAAAAAAAATTAGGAGAATCACTAAGGTACATGATCAGTTATAACACTGATGTATCATTTCTTTGTTTTTCACCAGATATTTTTGCTTATGTTCAGCTTTGTTTGTATCTGTTGCTTTAGGACTATAGCGTGCATGTATTATATGTAAGTTGCTTATATTTCTCTTTATTCCTTCTCTGAAGGATAACTTCGTCCATCACAGTATACCTATATCCTCATATATAAATATGTAGATGTGTATTGGTATATTAATATACATTAGTGATCATATATTCTTATTTCTATTGGCATGGCTATATGACTTGATAGTGGGTCAACATTTAGGAATCTCCTGTCTGTATTCAAAGCACATCTTTCTCCATTACCTCTCTCTGTACTTTGCTAGCACCTGCTAAGCTCATACTTTCTCTTTCTTGTTTGTGTTATCCGAGTCGTATTACATGTATATATCTCAGTAGGACATAAATAAAAAAAACTGCAATATTAAATTTAACTTATTAAAAGTTTATATATTATTATATACTGGTAGTATTTAGAACTTAATTAAACTGCAGTACGTTGAAGTTTGACACATTATAAAATTTTATTTTCAGGAAGGATGTGACATATTCACATAAAAAAACCCACTCACAAGAAATCGTTAACATATCACACGCTAAGTATACAGACAAAATGCACATTGTTTAAAAAAAGTGAAGGGCTGACGTCAAGTTAAGTGTGTGTATGTGAACGTGTAAATGTTTGTACACATGCAAGCACTTTCAGTTTGCTGGTTGACAAGTAATGAAGAGGAATTATGATTAAGTCGCAGCTGATATAATTTTAACTAAGAAACTTCGGAAAATAGCTCTTCAGAGCTAATGTTTTTTATTGATGAATCCAACTTTAAATAAATGTTATCTTATCAAAGAAGTGCATTAACAGATAAATTGCATCACACAGCTACAGCTAATGCTTACATATTCACTGACATTTATAATCTTCTTTGTTGTCGTTGATTTATTATATTGAGCAGTCAATGCATTAAGAGTCGTGTAATGGTTTCTTTTTACTCTCCCTGAATAGGTTGATAAATAGACAGAATTATGATACACATGAACAATTTGACTTGTATGAAATTTGAGAGAGTACAGGTACTATAATAGGAAATCTTTTCACATTCAAAGACCATTCAGTGATAAAATCACTTCAGGAAATTTATGTTGAATTCACATTAGACACTTTTAACGGGGTGATTTAAGAATTAATAGAATGTAACAACAAGCATGTGACTGTCATTATGAATATTTAAACCTGAAGTAAATTGGGATAATAAATTTTTATTTTTATTTCAATCTGAAAAATTACTTGTAATCTCTGCATTGAAGCAAATGCATATAGATAATGTTATTAAGGTATAATGTTTGGCTCAGAGCCATGCACTCTAACTGACCATCAATCAATGTGTGTAAAAAAGTTTGTTAGAGAAAGATGTCACTTTTTATTTATTTATTACCCAAAATTGCCAAAAACAATATAATTACATAAAAAGTCATGAGATACAGTTGTATACATGTATTTTCATACTGTTGCATTAAAAAAGTAATTTACTAAGAACTCTTTTCAAAAAATGTTTGAAATGGATAACATTTTTTGTATATGAATAATCACTTTAAAAAAAACTTACAAAGAAGAATAAATAAATTATACAAAATAAAAAAAATACATTTCCCCATGTTAAATTCTGGTTGATGGTCAAAATTTAAAGAAAATTTACAATTTCTCATTTTTCATTGAAGAAGTAAAATGAATAGGGCCTTTAAAACTTCTGTTTTGGAAAATTAGAATTTTTTTTTAATTATAGCATCCCAAAACTCTGTCTAAAGCAGACGAGTACCGGCTGAGATACCCTGACCCCCACAATGACACTGTGGTTCTGCCTCCCAAAGAAGTCATGCAGAAGATGGACCAAGGGGCCCTGGGGGATCTGTATCACAAGTAAGTGACCTTGACATTGAATGTTTTAGTTGATCAGTTTGGATAACATATCACAAGTATCACACATGTATCACAAGTAAGTGACCTGGACGTTGAAGGTTTCAGTTGGTCAGTTTGTGTTATAGTTCATAGGTGACACAACACTGTGGTAATTGACCTTGACATCGAATGTTTCATTTGGTCAGTTTGTGTTTTAATTGAAAGGTAACATATCACAAGTATCACCCATATATCACAAGTAAGTGACCTTGACATTGAAGTTTCTGAAGTATCACACGTATATCACAAATATGTTACAGTGACATTTAAGGATTTAGTTGGTCAGTTAAAACTGATAGGTATATTAACATATCGCAAGTATCACACATATGTCATAAAATAAATGGCCGTTACATTAAAGTTTCTGTAGGTCAGTTTGTGTCTTGGTTCATAGGTGACATATCGCAAGTATGTGACCTTGACATTGAAGGTTTTAGTTGGTCAGTTTGTACCTTAATTCTGCCCTTTTAAGGATCAGTAAGCAGTTGAGCTTAATGTGTACTTTTGCTGTAATGGACATTATTGCTGATTGCCTGGGGTTGGTAAATCTTAATTCAGGCAAGTGAAACTATCAATTCCTAAAATCTTTTCAGTGATTCAGTCGTATTTCTAAAGTTAAGTAAAATTAAATGATACATTGATTTTTTCTTTTCTTTTTATTTTAGACAATCAATTTCTTAACAATAGTTAAAAGGGAGTGGGTCGAATTTGATTCTGACCTGTTCATATATATTTGTTCATGCTTGTCACAAATTTTTAATTGTCTCTTTGTAAATGTTTGTACATGTTTGTAGTTGGTCAAGTTAGCTATAGATCTATGTGTAAAATTGATTGAAGCATTTGCTTTCAGGTACAGATGTTAAAAATAGATGAATCAATTGATATTGTTCTTTTTATGGCTTTTTGTTTAACTATTGATCTTTTATAAGAGGCATATACATGTATAATTTATATATTTAACAAAATGTATATGAGGGTGTAAAATTGTGGACAACTGTTTTGAATAAGAAATGTAAACTCTGACTTAAAATTTTGAGCAATGGAGTGTTTATTCATCATATTTCAGTTTTATGTTTTTCAGATTAATAAAAACAAATATGAAGAATTATTATACTTGAATGTATGTAGGGTATCAGTCCTACTTTAAAATCATTACATTTTTGCATTATTCTTGTAGGTATATCAACAGTTTACAGATTTTCTGTCGGAAGGTCATTCGTCTCGGCAAACTAGATGACGGAGGATGGGATTTTTGCGATGACTACCGATTTCGTCCAAGGAACAACTGTCTAGTCTATTCATATGGGTAAATTGTAATTTAAGGGGTATCATACTGTAAATGTATTTTATTTGGCACGTACCATCTTTCAAATTGGTTTTCAATGAGTAAGTATAGATTTGATTTAGCTCTAACTGTAATTAATATGAATATAATTATATACACAAGTCATTTAGTGATGCTCTTGACTTTAGTTGGTAGAAGTGGCTTTCCATGAAAGGTGCTAAATTGAATACACAGCCAAATGTAATCTATTCTATGCTTACAGTATTATTCTTCAAAATGCCTGGGTTTTTAGGCAGAATAATGCAGCAGATTTTTTGGTTCATTAAGCACAGAGGATTTTTGTTTGCAATGATGAACATCTGATCTATTGTACTTTTTGGGGCAGTGCTACATTTATTATATACTGAAAACTTTTTTGGGCTTATTAAAACTATAAGTATTTGAGAGTTAATTTAATAATAAATTATTAAATTAAACTTTCTACCCATTATATTTTATCATGTGTTTCAAGTCACTGCATAAACAGCAGAGATGATACTTCATATCAAAAATGTCAAATATTAACCAAAATGTGGTCTTAATTATGTTAAGGCTCAATTCATTCTCCTTGATAAAAGAGCTATCATTTTCTACAATGGCCATCTTTGCTATCCAAGGGTTACTCATACGCTACTTTCTTTTTAGCATCTAACAGACCTTAAAAATTGTTCATGATGTCTTGGAAAATGCTGATATTAATTTTTTACCTATTTTTTTCAGCATCCAGTTTGACTTTAGTTTTGATGATGCCATTGTGAAGAAATACAACTGTGAAGTGCATTCTTTTGATCCCAGGTAAAACTTCATAAGGTGAACAGAAACTTTTGGACAAAATCCATGTCATAAACTTGACAAAATTTTATGATTGGTGAAAGTCATAATTTTCTAACCAATGTAAACAGAGGCAGGATTTGAATATTGAATTTCAATGCTTTAAGTAGATTCTTGAACTCACAAAATAAAATGGGAAACATTTCATACGAATTATTGCTAAGTAATTATGTAATATATAATTTTTTTTGTCATTGTAATATCTTTCTGACCTAAAAATCCTTTGAAATAATTCATGTAATTTTAGGAGAGTGATCTGTTTTAAGATCTACATTTTAACTTTTAGTTCACTTCAACCTGAATAAGGTTTCTGGAAATTTTATCAAGTTATTTTTAAGAACCTTTTGACTGCATTAAAAAGTCAGCTAAATTAAGGCTGTTTTAGGCTTTATTTTTAAAGTGCTTACAGTTTGTTTGTTATAAGTATGTCACCAATGATCTAATGAGCCAGAACAGGGGAAATGGATCGTTATCATTAAGTAGTGTCTTAAGTGGTAGTCTTCCTGACCACAGATTGCATCAAACTTCATCAGGGAATGACCGGAGAGTAATGGGACTTAGTTCTTTTAAACCCTTTGTTACCAAAATTTTAGAACTTATAAAATAGTAGAATGTATGACTTCTGATTTTAAAGATAATGCAAATACCAGTCATTCAGTATTAGAGATTCTAGCTAATCCTAGACATTCCACAAGGCAATATTCATCCACCATATGTTATGCATTATAAAACTGTTCACAAGTTGTTATTAAATAAATGTACAAAGATACAAAACAGTCCAAAAGCAACATGCACCCAAATATATGCTCTCAGTAACAATGACAAATTTAAACACTTAGAGCATATATTGATATATAGTCACATCATAAAACTATGTACAATGTTTTTTTTAAAGTACAATAAAATAAACTAGGGAAAGTTCGTGTAAAGGGAGGAAATAGGTCGATCAGATACAAAGCTTTTTGTTTTAAATCCTACAAGGAAGTAGGATAATATATAAGCTGATTTAAAACATCAGTGAGCACAGAGTTTCTGAGTGTCCTTGTAATGTCATAGTTAGCACAGAGTTTCTGGGGTCATTTTTTAATGTCATAGATTGGCGGTGAACTGCAGGACTTGAGTCTGCCATTTCCTCCATTTTGATTTCTCAGAAAATTCTTCTTGAACAATGCCGAATTAAATTAATTATGTTCTGATTCAAAGAAAGTTTCTGTATTTTAGGAAGGATTACATTTTTTTTTAGGATATGAAAATATTTTGGTTGAGTATATATAGTGAATAAAAATATTTAAATTATCAATTATATCAACTTAGTTTGGTTGTGTACAGTCTGATGTACAGTTCAGACCTAAGTTCAGTTTATTATAGTTATGGGGGTGTCTGTCTGTCTGTACGTCCATCTAGCTCCATCTAGCTGTCTGTACGACTGTCCATTAGTCTGAACTGGTCAGACAATCTCATAAGCTTATAGAAAAGGATTATACTATTGACTAACAATTATATCACTAACACAACAATAAAGACCAATATTACAGAAATATACATTTAACTTCTATATTCCCTTTGTATAACCTTTAATTTCCTTGTTTTTGCAGCATGAGGGTAGGGGATCACAAACACGGTAAAAATGTATTTTTCCACGCCACGGGTCTGTCGGGGGACAACAATCCCTCCCGGGGGACAGGCTGGAAGATGAGGACCCTTCAGAAACAGAGAGAAGAACTGGGTCACGCTAAGGTAAGGGACCAGCCCCTCCCATCAGTATCTGTAGTGAGACAGCAGTCAAATAGGAGTCTAGGGAGTGTTCGATTGAAAACACTGGGGGAGTTCGTTTGTCTTTTAAGTATTTGTAAAAGGAGGTCACGGTACATAAGATATATAAACTCTTCACATGAATCATTTTGATTTTTAGAATTGTCTTAATAAATTAATGAAATTATTACCGTATTATTATTACAAATTCTTTTTTAAAACAAGAACATGATTTTGTTTTTGTATATTCCATATTACGGATTTTTAATGCAAGAAAAAATATCTGCATTCCATATATAGGTAAGTAAACAAAATTTCTCTCTGGTGTTAAACATACCTAATTCGTTTCTCTATAGAGGAAACAATCTTATTCAATGTAAACATCCTTAAATATGTAATAAATTACAACACAGTCATAAAACATCTGTAATAGTTTGGATGGAAATGAAAAATCCTGTTGGTATGTGTGTAAAAATGATTTAGACTTGCAGTGTTTTATAACTATTTTGTTTCAGAGCTGGTTTAATTCACTAACAATATCAGGTTCATATCATGACAAGCTCTTGACTTTAAAGTTATACACAGAAAGGTTGTTACACTGTACTTGTAGCTAGGAATTGCACAAAAATATAACACATATTGCAATACAATTTAAAATATCACAGTACGTTTAGTGCAATTCCAAACCAATACCCAGTCCTATGAAATATACTTAAATGCATCAATGAATTAGCCATCTATAGAAATAGATCATGAATTAAAGAAGAGGACAAAAATGATGAATATGGTACTGCATGGGCATAGTTTCTCAATGCTGATTTTAAAATATAAAACAATATTGACATGTGATACCCTATTGACAGTCACTCAACACTACATTAAAACTCACTGTAAACCTATAGCATGCTGTTGTATTATTAACAGTATAGACGTAAAATTGTAACAAAGCATGTCCTCTGTGTTCCCTATGTAAAGCTTTTGTTTTATATTTGCATGCTTCAGAGAAATATTATATTGATTTATATAGTCCTGCTTTTGATAAACTTTTTCTGTTTTTACAAAGCATCAGTAATGTGTTTTAGTGTCTTCTTGTGAACTTCCATCCTTTGTATGAACAACATCAATACAGCCCTTAGCTGAACACATCCTTGTAAACAGCATGGAAAAAGCTTTAATCAAAATCTTTTCTAAGGACAATGCATAGGACAGACCATGGAAGACTCTATATAACCTTTCTCTAGCCTTTAAACACTGCATCTTAATTAAATCAGCACAAATCTCTTCATTGATGATGCAGCTAAATTGGACTTCTTGTTCGTTAATGTGAACATTGTCACATGTATTTCTCTTTACTTGATTAATCCTAATGAAAAGTACAAGAATGACTATGTATATTAAAATATTTCCTCAAAAGACCTTGACGAAATGAGGCTTTATTATGTGTGCCTTCTTTATCAGATATACTGTAGCTCTAAATTTAACTCTTCAAATTTTCCACCTCATTTTCCAATCATGACAAGGAGCACACGGTGGGTGTGACCAGTCAGCAGGGGATGCTCACCTCTCCATGGCACCTGGTCCCACTTCTGCTGTTTTGGAGGTCCATGTTTGCTCTGCTCCTAATTTGTATTGTTAAATGGTCTTTTGAGTCTGAATACTGTTTGTTATCTCTATAAATTTCATTTAACTCATTTATAATAATATCATAGGGTTATGAATTAGGATATTTTCTTGTTTAACAGTCACATGTATTGCCTTCTTAACATCTTTACCCATTGAAATGCAAAACATTAAGCTTGGATGCTAATGAGGAATTCATGTCAAAATTACACATTTAGTTTATCCATGTGTCATGACAATATTAAAATGCATTAGATAGTGAGCTGAGCCCCCCACCCACCCTTCCACCTCAATGTAGAATGGATTGAAACGTTAATTGATCGACTTTTTTCACTTTATATCTTCTTTTATCAGTTTATTTTGCTGTTTATTGTGTATATTTATGAATTTTCATTCTATAGATCCTTAATTTTCGTGGTATAGTGTCAAACTAAGGTGACTGATATGGCCCATAGGCCTCTATCCTGTCATTGTTAATATTTTCTCTTAAAAGTTACCATTATTGCTCATATTTGTATTAAATATTCTGCATCACTGTTTATTAACTTAAAGGTATTAAAAGCAAAGTACATATAGTAAGAAAAAGTAACAATGCATTTGTGGCCTGTATTTGGCCATAACTACCACTGCTTTACTAAATGCTCAGTAAATAATAGATGTTGGATCCTTTTGTACCTAATTGTGATTGTATGGGTTGATATTGGAATAATGAAAGGTGTATTGTTTGTAGAATTCAGGTTAAGGTTAAAATCAAAGAAATCTGATGTAGCATATAATCAATAAAACTCCACCACGATATACAAGTAATGCTGAATCTAAACACATGGATGCAGAATTGTGTCTGAAATATTTTTGAAGGCATTTTTGAGAATGTTTTTCCCTCAGAAAAATTTAAGTGCTTTTACAGTTGGAAAGTTAGACAAAGAAAAGAAAATATGGGTTAAAAATTAAAAGCTGAGGGTCGTTGGAACTTAACAGGTTCTAAAATATTGTCAGCCAGAAATATACTCAGAAAAGCTTGAAAGATCATAAATGCATGCTTATTTTCAAAAAATAAAGTGAACTGGCAATATGAAAACCAGATACTATGAACAAAACAGACGATTCATCATTATTTATCTCAATGCAAACATATTACCTCTGTCTTAAAAAATGCTCATTGCATGAACATATGTCATAAAATAGCCGCGTGGTTTTCCCAGAAGGAGTGTTGCATTTTTTGGATTCCTACATGTATCAAGTAAGTATAATAAACTGTAGTTCAAGGAGAATCTTTTTTAAACTTGAATTTCAATTGATAAAAAAAATCCCAATAAAAAAATCCTTGATTGAACTCTGAAGTAGTCACTATGTCCTCCAGTCCTTCTGTCCAATCAGGAGCCATCTCTTGTGAACCAAAGAATTTCTATGCAATTTATATTTATTTCATAATTTGACAAATAGATAAAGATTTTAGGGTCACACTATAAAGGTCAAGATCAAAAAGAATTTATTTTGTTGCATAAAATGACAATGGCTGAAGATTTTAGGGATAGGCAATAGGTCAAGGTCATAAGAACAAGGATTCCATAGAAGATATGAGATTAACTAAATTCCCTTTCAGATCAATATTTGATTTTTTATATTGAATTAGCTACAGATATACATGAAAAATAAGGCACTGGTAGATTTTCCTCTATATAATTAAGCAAATTTATCTGATCTCAAGATTTATAAAAAATCTTGTCACACATATTTCATTATTTTCTCATCATGCATTTTGATTGCATGTATACACGCCAATACTAAAATTGATGCCACAGCTAAACAATGAACGCCTTGGGCTGGCATGGAAGGTGTTAATTGGGTGTTTACATAGATGACACTACACCTTTGGGTAGTCCGTGTTTTGATATAATTAATTGTTATTAATCAATGTTAATTACAGGGTAAGTTATAAACAAATTCACAACTTATTTCGAATTGAAACTGAGATGATAATTTTCTAGAAATTTAATTTATAGATGTACGTTTCAGTAAGTTCCAATAGACTATGAACTTTTATGATTAAATCGAGTCTAAATAATTGCAGCATGGCAAATATTACACAAGAATATTTTCTACATTTCACTGGTGAAGGTCCCTGAAAAAGCCAAACCGACAATTGCTATTCGGGTTTCATGTAATCATGCAAAAGAACAAATAAATACTGAAACTTTAAAAATGTTTTATTTATTTGAAATACAATCATTGTTACATTGTTATCCGTAAATTTCCTGTCAAACAATAAAACGTGCAATGACTTTATTTACATATACTTCCGCAGAAAATAATATGCAATGTATAGCATGCTGATTTGGTCCCTTGAATTCTTGTATAAAATTTATAATTTGCAATTTATAAAAGTCATTTCATTAAGATTATCCATCATGCATTTGAATGATTACTTCCACAGCTAAAGTAGGGGAGATGGTTCAAGAAAGATTTGTTCAAGATATTAAGAATCGAAGTATTGTGTATCAGGGCCAACAGATGAAGTTTATTGATAGATTTATGTTCTTTTCTAATAACAGTGAAGATTCTTTTTTCCTAAAAAAAAAAAACATTATGGCCATAAAATATTTCTAAAAATGTCCATATTACATTGTTCACTCCATTTCATTTACCAAGTTGTAAACAATAAATAAACTATAAAGCATGCAGAAAATAATATACAATGTATTAGCATGTTGATTTGGAATTCTTGATAAAATTTATAATTTGCAATTTGATTTGCAGCTCTTCTTTTTTTAAATGGGGGGATGGGTGTTTACCTGAGTTAGTTAGACATATTTTATCGATTTATGTTCTTTAATAACCTTTTTTCAAAAAGGATAAAATTTTTTTTTCACTTTATAGCTAATTTTGGGATTTGATTTCATTTTTTAATAAGAGAGAGATTTTCATCAATTTTTTTTTTTCACTTTATACATTTCAGTTTGTATGTAATAAGAGGGTTGTAAACTTTTTTTTTTGGTTAGGTTGATTAAATTTAATGAAAAATTTACAGGAAATTTTTGCATAAAAACATACAGGAAATGTTTATATTAAAATATCAAGGAAATTCATATTTAATTAAAATAATACACATTTATTTGTAGAAAAATAGGTATCTCAATAAAATATTTTCAACAAATTTTCAAATTCTACAAATTTAAGCTACAAATTATTATGAAGCTTTCTGCACTCAGTATAGATTCTATTTTGTGAAATTTCCCCCTTTGAACCAAATTGAGTTTGTTAAATAAAGAATAAAATATGGGGTTAGATAAACTTTCGTTGTAACACTCAGGTGACCATCAAGGCCCATAGGCCTATATTGTCTATTTTGGTGTCTTGCTTTTAAATATGAAGGGAATAGAATCAAAAGAATTATACACAAGTGCTAACTATGCATATGACAAAAAATTGAATGAAATTGAGTGAAATTTTTCACATATTAACTTATTTTTTTAATGCATGATAACAGTGAGTTTTGCCTCCTCTATGCTTGATGATTTGCATGCTGCCAAATGATGTATGAATTTGCATAATTTAATGTGTACATGTGTGTATACCAGTTGTAGAAAAAATATATCTTACTAGAACAATTATAGAACATTTAGATTCCCTGCTAGTATTTTATTATCCACATGTTATTGTAGCAAATATCTACATGTATATATTAAAATATATACAGCACTGTATATAGGGGCAATTTCAAAAGTGTATTTCTTACATTCTAGAAACACTACAATATACAGATGTACCATTAAAACTGATTTTATTTTTTTTGTACAGAATATATAATATAATATATTATACATGTTTATAATTATTAGTAATTTTACATTTTGAGAAATTTGATTTAGGAAGGGGTATTAGATGCTCCAAAAAGTTTTAGAATACTTATAGTCTAGTAGATAGTCCTATATATTTATCAATTACTATGAAAATGAAGAATGAATATTAGATTGTTATTATTATCTCTTTAGTTATGCATAGTTTTGAAGAATAATATAGGCAAATAAAGTTTTGAGCAATTATAGGTGTATACATTATACATTTACATGTACATCAAATGCTTCACCAATTATTTTTTTTTGGCTTGAATTAATGATAACCCTGAATTAAACTTAATGCTTCAAAGAATGTACCTGGCTTTGCCATGCACAAGATGCAACTACTGGGATGTAAAGGAAAGCAACAAATGATTATAACAGTTAATGTTCATGCGTCACAGTTACATTTTCTCATTTCAGCGGCCAATGGATGTTCTCAAAGTGGACGTCGAAGAGTGGGAGTGGTCTGCCCTTCCTGATATGATTAGTTCGGGGGCGCTGAACGATGTACGACAGTTTGCCATCGAGCTGCATATCACACTAAGGATCGAACCAGACGGCAGCAAATATTTACTGGGATTAAGCATTCTCAAAGACCTCTACGATATGGGATTTAGGATTTTCTGGACTCATCGGAACCTGTGGTGTAAATTTTTCCCTCAGAATGGGGCACCTCAAAGAACCGGCTGTCATGAAGTCTCGTTTGTTAATATTAATAATGTGTGAATTCAGCATTTTTCAAACTCACCTTAACCAAAGGAGTTCTCTTAGAGATTGAGAGAAAGTGTTTGACCTGCATTCAAAATATTCCATGGAGAAATACATGGTCTTACAATTGTCCTGATTTTGACTCAAGGTCATTTGAAGTCTATGGTATTATTGATTTCCAAATTGTGACAAATTGTTATCAAGCATCAGTCTTAAAGTTGTCAAAACCATTGTAAAAACAAAAGATGAATCAAATTTTACTGAAGATAACAATACTCAATATATGTAACTGTGCCTGGTGCATGTAAACTTTGAAAGATATATTTTACCGTTAGCTTAGTATTCGTTTTTGCAATGCATGTGCCAACTTTTTATATGGTTTGTTTAATCTTATTGCATAGTACGTGTATAAGGAACCAATTTTTTTTTAAAATTATATACAGAGATTTGACAGTATTTTTATACTTTCTGTAATCCCAAAGACTTTGTTTTGTAGTAAAACCCTCAGACGACAAAGAAATTTATAATTTATTCCTTTAATATATGTGTTCATTGAAACTTCATCCAACCAGTTCAACATTTTTCTATAACTTGTGGCATACATTATAAGCACCACCTTTTCTTTTCCATTTGACTGTTTGAAGAACTGATTAAAGAACTAATATAGGAGAATATAGTAATCAATGCTTAGAATTCAGTCACAATTGTAATATAATATGTTTGCATTGTTTGTCAAATGTAAACGTATTGTATTTACCATGCAGCTTTAATGTAGCAGTATATAATGATGCCGATGCATTTATTTGCAGATTTTGTCTAGTCACTTGTTATTGAATCTGAAATATCCGAGAGTTTAGAGAGATTTTTTTTATTATTATTATTATTAATATTTACAATGATTAGTAATTTGAACTCCCTGGCTTTTCAATTCATAAGTTTAAACTTGTTGTTTAATAATCACTGATAATTAACTTAATTAGGACATGCACTTGTTTAGAATTGTTTAATTTTGTTTTATTTTTTTTAATGAGAAGATGTTACATGTATTACATATATACCAAGTTTCGTAACTTTTTTTTAAATATTGTTTTTGGTGATGAGATCACGTGATGAAGAGGTCAGGTGAGAGTCGTCTCTCTTTCTGTACACATCTACAGGGCTCAATATTCAGGCACGTCCGACAAACTCAGACTGGTGGAAGTTTGGTCTGGTATTATTTATTTCGAGTCCAAGATAGCCTAACTAAAGTCAGTAAATAACTAAATATCTACAAATGAACTTTAAATATTTTTTTCAAACTATCTACACTGCAGTTTGCTCATGTATGCTTTCTTAAAAAATGTTTATTGGTATATAGATTTTTTACATTTATTTTTAATTCTCAATGGAAAATCAAATAATCATGCATACACAAAAAGATCTGTATGAAAGACTGTAAAAGCTAGTACTTGTTTTAAAGTACATGTACTATAATATTTGATAATTATCAGACATTTGTTTACACCATTATAAGTATGCATGTACATATAAATATTTCACCAATATTGCCACCATTTAATTTTCTCTAAAAGACTACTTAATATGCTTTTTGCAAGATCTTTTTCATTTTCACAACTGTTGTGCAGCATAAGTCTTAATTTAATCTCACTAGAAGAAAATTCAGCATAGTAATCTGTCTTTATGATATTTGCCTTAATTATGACAGTCAGATGGTCCAATTGCCAGTGGCCAGATAACTTAGTAGATCACATGACTGGAGATTTCAGGAGACCAGATTCAAATCTCCTGCTGGTCAGTCACTCTTCTCCTCTCCCATTACATTTGGTGCCATTGACCACCCCAGATGAAAGTCCTGCAAGTCCTGAGCAGCTAATCCCCCATCCACCCACCCTCAAAATTTCAAATCAAATTTTTAAAAACGAAAACATCAGCCAAAATGTACTTTTTATGAATAAGTAAGTGCAATCATAGTCTTAGTATTACCAGTTCATGTAGTCCAATACAGAAATCATTCTTTGATAAAGACACATATTTATTTCTCTGTGAGAGCAAAGTGACTAAGATGAGCAATATCATTATGTGGCATATATGACCTCTTTTTCATTGCTGGTACTTTATAGATAATTTTTACTTGTATTTCAGATACATGTTTATGTATTTTTCAATTTTATTTAGTTAATTGTATTGTACATTTTGAAATATATACTCTTCTCCACAAATAATGTTTTAAGCACATTAAAACAGTGGGTTTTGCAATATCAAATGGTTGAATCAAAAGCATTTTTAATATATATACCCTCTTATGAAATGACACTGTTCAATTTTCTTTATACCAAATTGCATTTTTGTCAATTAAACTACATACATGTACTTTGAATGTCATATGTCCTCATGCACGTTGTGAAAAACATGAGATTAACATGTTGTTAACTTTGTTGACTAGAATTGGTGCTGGTCTTAAATAAAAATGAATTCACAATAAAGCTCTGAGAGTGAAAGTTTTTTTTTAATGAATGGAGAACTATGAAAACCTAAAATATCTACTGTAATGTTGTTCTTTTTTCATTGTGTTTTCTGAAAAAAAAAATATCCTCTTTTTAGCTGAGCTGAAGGCTCAAGTGAGCTTTTTTGATCACTTGATGTTAGACATCCACATGTCTGGAGGTCTGTAAAATTCTCACATTTGATTTTTTTCTCAAGAATTACAGGGCCAATTTTGACCAAACTTGGTACAAAGCATCCTTGGGTGAAATTTAAATTGTTAAAATGAAGGGCCAAGTCCCCTCACAAGGGGAGATAATCCAAAAATAGGGTGGGGTCATTAAAAAATCTTCTTCTCAAGAACCACTGGGCCAATAAGGGTGAAACTAATGTGAAATCCTGGGATTTTGTAGATTTAAATTGTTCAAATTGTTTTTCAAAGTTTTACATAGAAATATATGAAAAATCTTTGAAAATAACCACTGGGCCAGAAAAGCTGAAACTCATGTGGAAGCATTCTTATACATGAAATTGTTCAAATCCCCACAAACAGGGCCACAAGTTGTTTTACATAGAAATATATAGGAAAAATCTTTGAAAATCTTCTTCTTGGGCCAAAATGTGAAACTGATGTACAGAAAACCATGACCCCAGGAGGTAGGGCAGGGCCACAATATGTATTACAAGGGGGAAATCTGGTAAAGAACAATATGACAAAAGATTCTCAGGTGAGCGATGTGGCCCATGGGCCTCTTGTTTGATCACCTGATGTTAGACATCCACATGTCTGGAAGTCTGTAAAATTCTCACATTTGATTTTTTTCTCAAGAATGATTGGGTCAATTTTAAGTACAGTTGGCTCAAATTTCTTATGAACTTTGGGATTCAAGATTCTCCAAATGATTGGCCATGCAAGATTCATGCCAGAAGGAAATACTGTGAAATCACAAATTTTTGTGGGGTTCAATTTTCATTGTTTTTCAAAAATAAAAAGAGACAAGCAAATTCATGCAGGACCACCATGAATATAAAATATGTTATATACATTTTACAGTACTCAACAATTCTTCATACATGAAATCAAATCCCCACAAACCCAAAGTTTTTCCTCAAACCATGAAAATTTGACCCCTTGAAAATGTGATTTTACAGAAACCAAAGAAATGGCAAAAATAGGATGGGGTCATTAAAAAATATCAAGAACCACTGGGACAGTATTAGGGAACCTTATGTGATAGTGTTATAGGGTAGTGTGTATTCTAAACTGTTTATATTTAGGGGATCAAAGTTAAATCAAATCATCCTCCAGGGTAAGGTAAATTGGGCCACAGTGGAACATCAAAAGTTTTTATGGAATTATGTTAGAAAAAAATTGATAAAAACTTCTCAAAAACCATAACAAAATTATTCGTTTGCAAATAAATGTTCCTAAGTTGTGTTGATTCATTTATCGTAATATACATGTATACCCCTGGTTAGAGTATTATTGACTTGTATATGTATCAGGATCAAATGTCAGATTCGCATGTTTTGAAATAATGGAAACGAATTGTCTTCTTCATAAGCTACAAGGCCATACTAACCATATCAATATTGAATCATTTTCTTGTATGGATTTTGGGACCCACAGAGTGGGTCATAATAGGGACTGGGGCCAGCTTCAAGCAAACATGCCTCAAAGCATCCTCTGATGAAAAAAAAATTTCCAGTTTGTCTAAGTGAAGGGGCACATTGATGTGTCAAAAGGAAATAAAAAGAAAAGGGGGAAACATTATTGTGAGCTATTCAAAAACTTGTTTTCTCTAGAAGTGACAAAACTGTAATGGAAACAGGAGGCTATTAATATATATAATTCCTTTAAATGATTAATATTCAAATTTTATTGAATCCCAAGTGTTTTAGATGAAGAAATTTCAAAGTTTTACAAAGAAATATATAGGATTCATCTTTAAATAACTTCTTAAAAGAATCATAGTCAAATTGATATACCGGGCCCATACCAATAAGTATGCATGGCTTCTATCTTCTATAAAGCATAGATTCTAATTCAATCAAATCATTGCTTGTAAATCAGGCACACTAGGAGTCAAATAACATGGGAAAATCTAACTGCTCTTATCAAGAAAAAAAATGTAAGAACTCATAGTTTGATTGCAATGACAATAGGCTTACATGTAGTTGCAGAGACAACTTAGTAGCAAAAAGGGATTAAGTAATTATACTGTGTGTATAATTTTTACATACAATCTTTTGTTTAAAATGTGTTAAACTTCATGATTTTCACATACCAATTTTTTTTTCTTTAATCTAGCGCCCTATAGATGTGCTGAAGATAGACATAGAAGAGTATGAATACTTAGCAGTACCTAACATGGTGGCCACGGGAATTCTCAAGGACGTCCGTCAGATGGCGATCGAGTTCCACGTCACTTTAAAACCCGACAGAAGTAGACGCTTCAAAGAGGAGCCTCCAAGGGAAAAATACTTCTTTGCTTTAAGTCTATTTAAGGATCTTTATGATTTAGGATTTCGTATTTTCTGGACACACAGAAATCCCACCTGTAAATTCTTTTCTAGGAAGGGTAATGTTGAAAGGGTTACTTGTCATGAGGTATCGTTTGTTAATATAAACAACATGTAAGGGTCTGTGTTGAGAGATTTTGAGCTGTTTTAATTGGTAAAATTTTTTGTCTTATTTTTTATATTTTGGGTAATTATATGAACACCAAATGTTGCCTTAATTTTATCTTTATACAGTACATGTACTTGTAAAAGCTTTTATTAGGTATTTGATGCCACATATATTCATACACTCATATGAACTGTACGTTACCTATTGAGACACGTACTGGTTTAATTTTGATTTTTCATTGGCTTTATCATTTTTAGAAAAAGTGCATTTTGCCCTGTATTTATATGTAAAATTTCTATGTGTTTTCATGCTTTTATAACAGTTTTGTTGCACAAGCTTAAATGATATCTCTTACTATAATGAATCTCATATTATTGTTTAATTAAATGGGTTTTTTTTATTATATTATTGTATATACTTAATTGAGATAAGTAAACCAAATGAAGCTAATATATCAAAAATCATACTAATCAAGAGATCATGAATTATTTTCCGTTTCTAATTAATTCACTCCTGACTAACAAATTTTTACATTGATTATGCAAGGGAACATCAAGAATACAACGCAATATTTTATCTGCGTCTTTTTTTATCTGTAGAATTAAATGTTAAGCTGTCTCAGGTAGAGAGTCTTATAGTCAATGTATATATATACCTCAAACTTCAACAGAACTTGTGTTCTTATATTCTTTGTGCCCAAAAGGATGCAGGAGGCCATTCAACAAATACTGGCACTTTTTAAAACGGTCACTGACAACAACCTGCATGTGCTCTACAATGGACAGAGGTTATATACAGGAAAATGTATTTAAAACTTGCAACTTATTGTAATGAAGAAAAAAAACCAATTTTGTATTGTTTGTACCATGTTGCTGATATTTTGTTTTACCCAATCATCAGAGACCACCTGTACTTAAAAAATACTCCAAACCACAGCATTACATTGTTATGTATTTAGTGAGATTGATTTTCATATACTCCATTACAATGTATTTTACATGTATTTTAATGTTGATGAAATACGAGGTTTTTATTGTATGAATATGGAATATTTTCTTTATTCTGACTGGGAGATAACCTTATGTTAAACTGATTTTCTCATGCCAAAATTTTCTCAAATTCACTGTCAACTTAAATTCAAATTAATATTTTACTTTTATCATTTAATTTAAAAAGAAATAAATGTATACTTTATCTGATAAAAAAAAATTAACATTTCTTTGATGTTGGTATGGGGCATAACTCAATTTCATTTTCTCCTTGAAAAGCTTAAAAATTGAGTTATTTCCCCTTTTCAAGAAAATAGATTAATGGACTAGTGTCTGGTCTAATGTTGTAGTGTCTGAGAAGTAGTAAATTTTTTTTGCCTCAAATTACACATGAGATTCATTTTAATATTTTAATTTTTAGATATATTTATTACACAGTTGTCTGAACTTTTGTGACCAATCAAAATTTATTTTAAATTTATTTATTGTTATAATGACAAGTATTATTTTAAATATAAAATACATGGTTACTGTAAATATAAGCGATATTTGGGCGAGGGTAAGAAAACGTGATAGAGGGCGAGGCTTGCCGAGCCCACTTACGTTTTCGACCCGAGCCCAAATATCGCTTATATTTCAAGACAATTATCATGTATTATGTTTATCCTGCAACATATTTCTTAAATTTTAACGTTCAAAACTACCCGGTAGCTATTTTCGACAGATTTAGGCACATTTCTGCAGTTGAAACTATGACGCCATGGCGTAAACATTGCAATATACATGACGTCACAATGCTTTTAGAACGTAGGAATGCATGCACGAGGCTTTATTAGGGCAGTGACCGGATAAAGCTTTGGTTTATTAGGTTACCTTTATTAGGTCAATGCAAGGGGTAGTTGCAGGATAAAATGCAATATACTATGCTTCGATCAGATGTAAAACTAGCATAGTCCACAAACATGAAAGGAAGCTGCTGGCAGTCTTGCATACGATGCTGGTTTTATCTATTAAATTAACTAGTCACCATGTTTTAGGTTTATATGTGATTGTGATATCTCAAATCGAATCAAACTGAATGCAGTATTTATATGTCATGTTGTTTTATCAGAATGATCTTTTGATGCAGGAGATATGCTTGTTTCTTTTTTTTTTTGCTTTTTTTTTGGGAATTTAGGTGAGAGTGAGTAGATTTTACTTGCTGTTTGGAAGAAAAATTTTTATTCATGTTTTCTTTTCAAAGAATTTAAACCAGCTTTATGTAAAAATGATCTGGTGTGTAAGAAATTACTGGATTTTCCACAAAAAAAATCTTTTATTGTACAATTCAATACAAAGAGAGCATTATTATGCATGTGTATGTTAAACTCTGCTGAGCGTA